TTTCAGTTTTTTTAGGCGACTAAAATTCTTTTTCTCTAGTTTTTCCTGTAATCTTTGGAATACAACTCTTCTTCGCAGTCACAGTTGCCTCTTCCTCAGATGAAGTTCTTTTTCCATCATTTTATTTTTGAGGCCTTGAATCAGTTTTTCTTTGTCCTGTCCTTCAGTAACTTTTCCGATTTTTTGGCAAGCATAGCAGTCTTTTTTATAATTTGTATCACAAATAATGCAAGTGACCTTTCTTGGGTAACCGATTCCGATGTAAATCTTAGAATCAAAAATATTTTTGAAGTTATCATTCCACTTTCGGACTGTATACGTCGCGTAATTTTTTTTTTTTTTTTTTTCCTCCTTATGTTTAACTCTTCCGGCAGCAGAAAGCAAAGGCGTTTATAGAAACTTGCATATCATTGCTATGCCCGTTTTGGAAACAACGTACTCGATAAGAGTACAACGCATTATATAAAGATCCGTCATTTTCAAAACGAAAACGCCTTCGCATTATGCAGGCAAAAACTTTTAAGACCACTGTGATAATGATTTTCGGTGGTGTATGGTTCTCACGTTCATAAAAAAAAACTTACATGTGTTGTTGCTGTTAAAACTGTCGTAACATTGCGGTTCCTCTTCTTGGCCGAAAACTGGATATTCAAAACTCGGCAACTGAATCGGAGCATGCATTGGAATCTTCATTCTCAATGTTCTCAAGCACTACTTAAAATTTGAATGGACGAAACCATTAGGTCTCATTTCAGGACACTAGAACGAATACGATTAAGCCGCCTACTAAAGGAAAGTTTGGACATAAATGCTTCTTCTTTCTCGGCGAATGTTTTTTAGACAGGCAAAGTAGACAGATGTCTTGTTTTGCATCCGCTAAGTCAAATCGCAAAAGTACGCAAAACAAACGCACCATGACGCAAAATCCTTTCGGAGTTACAGTTACGGACATGAATACTTTTTCTCTTGAAGCGTTTCATAATGTAGAAGCTATTCTTATTGCCTGTTAGATGGCATTATTATTTGAATTTTCACAAAAAAGGGCATAAAATGGCTTAACCCGCCGGTTTTTCACATGTATCAGCATATTTATGAAATTGACTTTAATGCTGCAAACTTCATCGTGGTGATGGGATCTAATCATAAGCTTAATTGATAAGACAATTGAAGTAGAGAAAAGGTTGATTTTTAAAATTATTCTTTATTATTTACAGAACTTAAAAGTAGTCTCTAAAACCTAAAGCGATTTTTTATGATAATAATCTTACCATTTTAATGAAAGTTAACTTGGTATATATGCCAAAATAAAAAGCCTCTACGATGGTGCCTCACCGTTATGAAAGTCTCTTAACTTCAGAATATAAATGTAATCTCTAAAATGAAAGAGTACAAAAGCACTCCTTTATGATTACCTGATTAATAGACTGCTCATAGATAATGTCTTACGCAGTAATATGTAATGTCTCTTGTAACTCATTCTTATGACCCTCAGGCTTTTCTACTTTTGATTTATTTTAGATGTATAGCTTTAACCGCGTGTGCTTGGAATTGTTGCCTAATTGATTATATTTTCTTTTTTGTATAGCTGATTTCTTTTGTTGTTTGTTCTAATCCTCATGTTTCGCGGTCATCCGTGCAGGAAAATGTAAACACCGTAAAATGAAGTTTTCAACAGGATCTTTACTGTGCTACAGCGGAATGATTTTCTTTCCAGCTGATTTAATTTTTCTTGTAGTAAGTGCTGTATTTACCAGAAAGCTTAATAGTTAAATTTCGTCTTTTGTCTTGAATTCCCTCCCTTCTCTTTCGGTTTGAATTGATATGGGCAGATCGTGTGTGAGACGTAAAATGCCGATTGGGTTTTTATTACAGTTCAGATTTTATAACTAATAGGTTGGTTTCATAAAATAACATCCGGTTGCTAAATTTAAAATGTCGTTACAAATTTCTGATTTGAATGAGATTTATGATCAAGGTGTAATGCCATAGACTATTTATTTCGCCATATTTACATCAAAACTTTTCCTTCGCGAATCAGATTTTTGTAAAGTCCAAGAAAAATGCTTTGTGCTGAGGCACAAAGTATTATTTCTTTCCGAAAATAACGTGAAGTTAAATAAGAATATCAAAAGCTCTGGGATCTGCTGCTTAATCCTCTAACCGGCAAGGCCGTATATATATGTGCATATTAAAATATATCAAAACATTAGGGCAATATATTAAAAGTACACAAATCCAGGTATAAAATACCAAGAGAGTTTTTACATTAAAATCAAGAAGTTTGGGAAAATTTGTGCTTTCTTAGCTAAAACCCTGGTCGCTCAGAGGATTTAAATTTGTGTGACCTTTTGCATTACTTTCTTGTAATTAATTCTTTTTGGTTAGTGGTTGTTACTTGTTTAATTATGTTAATTTGTATTAATTAACTGCAACAAGTAAGCAAAACGTTTTGGCTATTTAAATAAGTTATGCAGTACATGAAACAATTCATGTATTATCTTCATATGTGGGTTTGTCCAGGGAGGAGTCCACCTCACTTGGAACTTTTGGAGGCCCATGATTTTAAGACAGAAGACAGTAATAAGATTACAATTTTTTATGATTTTATACTATTTTTCTTTGAATTCAGAAAGTGATTACGGACTTCCTCGTAATAGCGACGTGCACGTTCTCAGAGATATGATTTACCAAAATTGCAGACCTTTGTTAGCTAAATAAATAAATGAATTTTTCTATGAAACTTATGTACATACATTTTTTGTCCGAATTTTCAACATTAGATGTTATTTTATATGCTTTTTCGGCAGAATCGTAGCTAGGGTTTTCAGCGCCCGGGGGCAGCTGACGATTTTGCGCCCCCTTCTATATGCCAAGAATAGGAAATATTTCATTGTAAAATGTCATAATAGCAAACTGGCGCCCCCTAGATACTGCGCCCGGGGTCAGATGTGCCCTCTTGCCCCACCCTAGCTATGCCCCTGTTTTTCGGATGAATCAGCCATTTGTTTATCCTGACCACATAATTACATGGTAATCAAGGTTTCTAAAATATAAAAGTAAGTATTTTACTGACTTTGCGTGTCAATCAGGAGTCTGTTGCAGATGAAGAGAAATACGCCAATACAGAAAGTTAAATATGTGAACTTTGGGGTTTATTTTAAAGAAAGCTGCATGCATTTTTCCAGTAATGTTTTTAAATGTTTGCCTAAAGTTCACTGCATATGCAGGGAGCGTTGAAATGAACACAAAAACCTAAATGTATAATAGTTAACAATTGTGGCGCCATCTCTGTTGCAAAATAAAAAAGGAATTTTTTTTTAAATAATTTTAATTCTGCAAAAATTAAACAGAGAAATATTTTAGTTACCAGTGAGTACATACAGTTCTGTAAGCTTTTTTAAAAAAAAAAAATATTACCATGCAATAAATAACGAATTTTAACAAATCCATATTTAAAATTATATAGTGAAAATGAAAACAAAATTTGCATGTAACTAATTGAAATGTAGAATATTATTAAAGATTAACTATCTTTAATATCTTAAATAAACCTTATTTAGGGGTGCCTTTAACCAAAGATGTTTAAACAAAGATATTTGTTTAAACATTCTTTGGTTAAAGGCACCCCCTAAATAAGTTGAAAACACTGAAGTACATTATAATTATCTAACCTACAATAAATGCTTAAAACAAAACTTGCTTCAGACTTTAACATGTTTTAAGCACTTTGAATATTGGAGTTGAAAATTTTTAACTGGAATTAATAGATTTTTATGAATGTGGTGGACACCACATATGACTTCCTTGTACAGCCTATTAAATATTCTTTTTAGAACAACAATAAACTTAAATATTGTTAGACTAACTACATATATAAACTGTAGTTTAGATTTCGTTATTTGTCTTTTTTATTATTATTATTTGACATTACCAAAATATTAATTACGAAACATTGTCATAATTTAAAATGTTTCTAAATCAGAGGTATATGACTACAACCAACGATTGCGAAAATAAAGGCTGGGTAAGAAGGTAGTCAATTTGATTATCGCGTAAGAAATGATAAATAAATATGTATCTAATGGGATATATTTTTAAGGTGAAATACTAATGAAATGAGAGATTTTTTAAAATGTAAAACTTACTAGGTTGTACATATTGTGGAAATCAAAAGGTGTAATATGTGTATGGTTTAATGAAAAAATTTAAATGATAATAAAATTGTACAAGAAACATTTTTGCCAATTCCATAGAATGACCCTGATTCTTCAAGGGGAGTTAGTATCTTTTCATAAAATCATCAGTTCAGTATACAAATATACGTTTGGTATTGCAAACTGCAATAAAAAATGGGGAGATGCACAACTAGATGTTATACATAGCAGTTCCATATACAAAATTCCTGTGTTCTACAGCTAATCATTTTTTAGTTATGTGAGATAAATACATACATATATATACACAGTACAGGTGTCATGGGAAAAAATATCCCTCTTAAATCCATTTTACAATCTGTTTTGAAAAAAAAAAGGGGGGGATCTTTCATTCTGTCCATACATACAGAAGTCATGCAAAAAAAAAGAAAGAGAAAAATGCCCAAATGGATTCAGGAACGGTCAGAATGGATATTTCTGTTGAACTATGATACCCAAAATTTTTCGTGATAACAATACTTCCTTTACTTTGTAGAAGAAAGTAACAAATTACAAGATTTCTATGCTGATGGAAACCAGCAAGATACAGTCTGAGGTAGTAATGCACTCAAATGTAACATAGCTGATTCAGTTAACCTTTTTATTTCCTTTAATCTGCTGTGTAATTTCTGAATTCATTTGAAATAACAGCCAATTTCAAATGCAATATCTGTTTGTTGTGGTTAATGAGAGTCATTTTGGCATGCATTGTATTTTTTGTTTGATATGTTGGATATTTTTTGACTATTTTATTTTTATAGAGTCTGTTAACTCATAGAACTGATATTTTTTTCTTTTTCTTTTCAGGCACATATGGTTGCTGCTTTTGAACAGTCTTTGTCGAATATGACGAGTAGACTTCAGCACCTTACTGCCAGTGCTGAACAGAAGGTATAATATTAAAATTTTTTTTCACATCTTGGGAAAAAAAATTAAAATATAATTGGTAGATTTTTTTAACAATTACAATTTGTTGATTTTTAACTATTACAATTCAGTGACTCATACTCTAGTTTCAGAGATTTCACGTTTGTAATAAATGCCTCTTTAAATTTTTTTCATGGAGAATAAATAAAAATATCTGCATTATCAGTTAATAAAGCTAAATATTTACAATTGAATAAAATTCAAAACTCAGCTAAAACTGAATTTCAATTTTAGCAGTTCTGGCATTTGTTTTTGCATCTCTTAATATTATATGTGTCTATGAAAAAAAGTATATATAGAGTCTTGCAATCACTGTAACATAACAAAAATTCATTGTAATAACTATTAGATTTTATTTAGATGAGATGCAAATGATAGTGTGCAGAAGTAGATTTTGAGATTTTGCAATTGACCAATTGCAGATCATTATAAGTATAATTTATTTATTATGTTAGCTGTGTTAAGTGACATTTGCTGCTAAATGTTGTTAAGAAGTCCAGATTTCTGGACGTTTAAAATGGTTAACGTGTGCTTTTGATAAATGCATTAATTTAATATGAAAGATAAAAACAAACTGTTTCACACAGTCACTGATTGGCAGTAATCTCTATTTATGATGGTCTGCATTTTATCATAACTTGAAAACAATAATCCATTTTAAGATGCTTGAAAAAGTTTGTATGCAAAATGTGTATATCTCTAGAGATGGGCAAAACCACTCTTTTATGGGATCAGATCATTTTCTCACTGAAATGTGTCGTTTCTTTTTGGTGACTTACTTTTCACTAACAATAACCTTGATTAAAAAGATTGGAAATTAGGGTGAATCAAGAGTGGTTAGTGAGGATAAAGCAAAGAATCAAAAGAGCCTAATGAATAGTGGGATGAGTACTAGGTAGCAAGACTGTGTGAAAAATGAAGAGAATTAAATTAGCTGTGGAATCAACAGAATCAACTCAAACAAGCGTTAACTCCCTAAACTGATTTCTTTCAACTGTAGTGTTGAAATACCTTAAAACATCCTTTCTGCATGAAATGAACTATAAAATTCTAGAATAAAATTTTTTTAAGAAGTTGGGAAATGATAAAAGTTAAATTCACTTTTAACATGGGAGTCAAAACATTCTTTTCTATCCTAAAATCGAACTTTCTTGTCCTTTTCCGGCAAGAGAGATGAACTCTAAAAGAGCTGTGCTCTTGATATTTAAATTAGCATTACATAGATTTTTTTTCCCAATTTGCTTGCTCAGTAAAGTGGATCATTTCATGAATGAACAACAGATTTTCATTTCTGTCATGCTTCTAACAAGAGCTCTCCCACTCCATTTTTTAGAATTCGAGCAGATTTGCTCAGTAATGTAACCGCTTCTTAGAATCAGTTCTGGAGGGAATTGCTCAACTCTAGTATCTTCACACACACAGGAATACTATATCTTATTATAAGAAAATCATTTTGAACTTGGCAGATAAATTCCATTCCTACAAGAGAATGTATGGGTTACTTGAATTCTGTTCTTTTGATCTTGTATCAAAGCTCGTCCTTTCCCACTCGGCCTACAAAAGTAATTTTGGTCATTGAGCAGGTAATACACTACTCTTTTCATACACCACTGGATCTGGAAATTAATTCACAAGTATTGCAGAGGCATTATTAAAGGCATTATATAAGTACTTCATGCAGTGCCTGACATACATAACTGTCATGATCTTGATATTTAAATTAGCATTACATAGATTTTTTTTCCCAATTTGCAATCACTTTTATAAATTAGAATTCTCTGTGGACCACCTTATTCTTGTTTCCTTTGATAGCATAGTGTAAATGACTTCCAAAATACTTCTGTTTTTAAAATTTAATTAATTAAAATTCATTTAATTTTCATTGGTATTAATCAATTAAATTAATGGAAGAAAATTTATATTTCTTAATATTAATTCAAGGCATTAGAATTTGGATAATATTATTAATCAAAAATTTAAGTAGTAGTACTTTCATTAACGAGATGGATGAGCCTTTCAATTCTTGCATAGCTGCTCTATGTTTAGAAGTACTATACTACTAAGAAGCACCATAGAGCTTTAAATTCCTCTTTTGTTGGGAAGACAGAAGTCTGTGAGTAGGAAAACCACTAATAAGTTTCATAAAATGTCAGTCTTGGGATTAAAGTGACAGTTGATTGCCATGTGCAGTTTTCAAACTCGGAGATTTCAGCTATATTGTGGTATGTATACTCAGGGGCGTAGCTAGAGGGGGGCAAGGGGGCATCTATTCCCGGGCGCAGAATCCAAAGGGCTCCAAACTGATGTTACGATATTTTAGAATTAAATGTTTTTCATCCTTGGCAAGCAGTAGGGGGCACGAAATCTTCAATTGTCCCTGGGTGCTGAAAACCCTAGCTCTGGTCGACTCTGGGTATACACAATGAATTAAAATTTTACTTCTGTCTTTTTTGGAAATCTAGGAGGATCATAAGGGCAGATTTCAAAGACCACAGTTTCAGAAATGTTGATTTAAATCATTGAAGAAATATCACCTATGTACACATATATCTTAAAAAGATAACAGCCATATCTCATTAGTTCAGCATGCATTATCTAAGTTAATAATTGGGAAGATTCATTTAATACATGGGCTGGTTTGTTACTCTTTGATATAGTATATACACTCATGCTAAAAAAAATAAGCAACAAAGGCAAAACACAGAATTAAAAAAAACTATTTAAGAATATGCATGAAATTGATCCAAGAGGTTAGTGGGACATTAGTAGACCACATAGCAAAACTATAAAGCAAAGACATACAAAAACACATGTATTACAACCATCACATTGCGAAAGACCAAATAGATCAGAATAACATACAATAGAAACATCACACTGGTAGCAGATATAATACCCTCTAGCTGAAATGCATGCTTGACAACGATGAGGCAAGCTGGTAATAGTGCTGTTGATTACTTGTTGTGGCAGTAGCACCCATTCTTGTAGTAACACATGTTGGAGCTTGTAGAGGATGCGTGGTGGCACATTGCGACCTGCTATCCATCCTTCACATGCTCTTTGGGATTTAGGTCCAGTGTTATAGTATGCCACAGCAGATGTAGAGTGGCTTCACTCTCCAGATAACTCCGCAGCACTTGAGTTCTATGCAGGCAGGTGTTATCATCCATAAACATCACGTGGGTACCCATTGCAGTGATAAAAGGATCCACAAAAGGGTGTAGAATTTCATCACGATATCAGTCGCCTGGGGTGGAACTGCCAGGAATCACATAAAGGTAAATGTATTCGTTGCTATACCAGCTGTACAAGTAAGCCTCCTCGTGTATAATGGTGCTCTTTCAATAATGTTAGGTGCCCAATAGTGTGTCCCTAGCTATAATCATTGTCCTTCAGAAATCATTCTGGATTTTAAATCAAGACTCATCCGTAAAGAATATAAGACACCACTGCTCTATTGTCCAACTGTGATGTTCACAGGCTCAATTCAACTCTGCTTTGACATGCGATGGGGACAATTGAACACAAACCACAGGTCAGTGGATGTGTGGTCCACCTTTGTGCAGTTAACGTGACACAGTTTGGAAAGATATGGACTGTCTTTCAGCAGCAAAGAGATGCAGTGTCGGGCTGTCGGTGATTTACGGCATCTTACACATAGCAACAAGAAGTGGATATCTGCTGTTATGGTAATCCTCCGACGCCCAAACCCACATCTTCTTACAGGGGTTTTGATCCCTTTGGTAATGATTCCTGATGCATATTCATTTTGCAATAGCGAACTGTCTTGCACCAGCTTGCAACATCTTGACAGCCCTTTCAAGATGTTCAGATGATGTCTTCGAATCATGCCTTCTGCTTAGGTGGTCTCAGATTTTACGGAGCTATCACTGCTTGCAAACTGCCGCATAGGTCTGGCATGCCCTTTTTTAAGGCATTATGGTGTAACTGGGGGATTGCATTTTACGTAAATCTTGGTTGCCTATTTGCATTTGGCAATGCAACCTATACCTCATATATAAATTGTGTGTTTTAATTCCTCTTTTTACATTTGTACCTTTTCTTTTAGCATTTATGGCTTATTTTTTTAGCACAAGTGTATAGATATATGTGCTGCTGGAAATAAATGATTATAATATGTGTAAACAAATTTGATATTCCTGTAGTTTGAACAATTTTTTTTTTGAAAATTTTTTAAAATCAAAATGTGCTAATACTGAACAAATTTTCAAACATATTTATTCTTTTTCTGAAGTATCTTTATATTGATTTTTTTCCTTTTTTTAGGATTCAGAGTTAACTGAACTGCGGAAAACAATTGAAGCTTTGAAACAGCAAAGTGCTGAGGCGGGCCTCACAAAAATGGCTTTGCAGTCAATGCAAGCAGTGCAGAGAAGTACGGGTGCTACTAACTTAGTTCGGCGACACACTTTTAACACTACTAAGGATACGGGTGAGACATGCAACTAACAACGAATGTGCTGTGCTGCATGATTTCTTTGTTCTGTTTTGCATGTCAGCCTGATAAAAGAAATAACACCACTAATCACTACCACTATATCATCCTGCACTATTTAAATTTAGTATTTGAAAATGAAAATTGAGAAAACATTACTTTTAGCATTTCTGTGTTAGATATTAATTACTATAGACATTGGTGCTTAAAATGAACACAGCAAGCACAGAAAAATCATTATTAGTAAAAAGCTGCACAGCATGCATAAAATGTTGCTATTGTAAATTAAATAAAGGTAAAAAATTTTCCTAAGAATGGGAATATGTAAAATATACATTCTCATATTTCTCATGTGAAAAGTTTCAGTTATTGAAAACCTAAAAATTGAAGTTCCATGTTAATATCCATATTTTCCCCAAGGAATCATTTTCCTTTAAATAAATAAAAAACCTTAAAATTTTATATTAGTTGCAGTAACACTATTATGACTCAAAAATTTGCTCTTGTTCCGAATGGTTGTTGGAAGATTAGGACAGTTGCTAACTGGTTAAACGTTGATTATTCTGTTCTTGCCTTTTGCTGAAAACAGTTTGAAAACTTTAGAGACATTATTGAAAACAGAGCTGCTTCTTCTAACAATAATCAACATGAATTTTTTTTTTAAAGTTACATGTAATAAAAGCAATGCTGAATACCACTTGTCCCAGATGCATCCTTTGTGATTGGAATAATGACATACTGGTATTTATTGTGCTGAAGATTATACTACTTTAGTTGCTCTAAAATGACTGCATTGTATTCTTGGAACATATTTCATACAAGCACTTATTTCACCTACTTTTTCTTTGGATCCTCAGATTCTCCTTTTTAGGATGTTGTATCTATGAAAGAAAAGAATATTGCTTCTAAATCTTAAAAAAAAAAAAAAAAAAAAAAAAAAATCAGCAGAACTAATTCTTAAAAAAAAAAAAGCATTTTAAGCTTATTATTTATTTTATTTAAAAAAAAGGTAATATATGTAATAAATAATGTGTAATGAAAATGTATTTACATTTGGAAGGAAAAGAATTCATTAAATAAATAAATAAATCTATTTTGCATGTAACAACATTTATTTGTTTTCACTTTCTGACAGTAAATCATGCATTTGTTTGTGTACAATGGAATATGAGTGCTGTCACTAGAATTGTTGTGAACATTACCTTCTTCCTCTATGAACGGAATTTTTTGAGCAAAATTAGAATGAGTCTCCTCTGGTGCTGATGTTTGTTGTTTTTATGGATGAATTAAGTTATTAATTGTTTTATGTTTTTTTAGGTCCTTGTATAGTTTTCTGTATGTGGAAGTTGACACCTTTAGATCAGATTGAAACTTTTCTTTTTATACAGTGTGATCAAACTACTTTCTAGCATGTATTCAAAGTTAGTAGTTTTAATTCTAATGAAAATCCAGTTTGATACAATCCACAACTGAGAATTTCTTTTTGTCCAAAATGTATTGAAATGTTTGTTCTGTGTTTTAGATGCTGCAATTCTACCTTAGTTTACTAACTGTAACAAATATTTAGTATAAGGTAGCAGAAATACAACTTATTTCCTTTAGTGTTCTTAGACAGAGGGCCAGCTGTGTTTTCAGAAGAACTTTAAACCAGAGATCTTTTGCAATGAATCAAAAAGAATCTTTATATTCAAAGATTCTTTTTGAATCTTTGAATATAACATCTGACTTCTGGAATCAAACATTTGATGAATTATTCTGTGAAGATCGCAGTGGTCATGCAGGCTTTATTGTTTGCTGTCCGTGAACAGGTAGTTTATTGATATCTGCACCTTTCACTGAATGTGGGCTCTAAGGCCTGATTTACCAGCAATGGCTTCAACAAGCAGTGTCCTGAAGCTTTGGAGCAAAATAATAAAGTCACATGATTCATAGCTACTTTAAACTTTTCTGCAATTCGGCTACGTATATTCTGTCTGGCATTCAATTCCAGAAAAGACCACTTTCATCTGCATTTCTCGCTTGATTAGGAATATAGCTTTCATCTTCAGTAATTTTTGCAAGTTCTTGTGAGATTACTTTTGCAATCAATTCATCTGCAGATGCAGTTTTACCATTAACTTTTATATTATGAAGAGCATGATTTTAAGAAACCCTGTGACTTGCAAACTCATACTTTCTGTTAAATTGAGATGAAGTGCTTGGTTTCCTTTCATTAATCTGTCTATAAATTCTTAGTGCTTGATGGCATTTCATTCTACTGGTATTCTTTTTTGGGACTTATCTTCAGTCCGTATTACCAGAGTTTTCTTGGTAATTTTTTCCATTGACAGTAATGAAGAATCAACATCCACCACCTTTTAGTTTGGGCACCACTGTAGAGTCATTAGGTCATTTTGAAGTATAAGTTCAGATGCTGATCATCCCCAATTCCAGATCATTTCAGTCTTCTGTGGAAGTAGACTTCTTAAAGAAGTGATGTTCATTTATATTCTCAGAGACACTGGTCATGTAAAGGAGGTGATTGCCACAATTGTATTCGCTGTTTGACACCATGACCAATATAGCATAGTTACATGTTACGGTATTGTGTGTCTTGCTATAATTTTAAGCACCAATGAGAATGCATTCATTTGTAAAATGGTTTGTGTTGTTAGGCAAAGAAATACACTTTACTCTAAATGACAAACTATTTGAGACACCTTAAAAAAAAAAAAAAAAAAAAAAATATTTATTGAACAAATTTATAGTTATTTATAGTACTGCAGTTAGCATGAAAATGGGTAAGATGAAAAATGTGAGTTATTTTGAATGGATCATGATTGTTGGTGTAAGAAGACTTCATTCCAGTATCTCCAAAACAGGTAATGTTCTAGGCTTTCTTAATATAATGGTATCTCATGGGTGTCTAGATAATGGCAGTTGAGTAAAAACGTTTCAGGCAGTAATGACAATTCTGATGAGGAAATGCTGGTGAATAAAGTGTTGAAAGGTGACCGTCTGTAGTAACACATGGGCAGCAACATGACAGCTCAGAGTTTAGTATAATTCTGGTGCATCACATAGCATGTTCAAATGTACAACATAATGGACTTTGGATGGGAAGAGTTTTGACAGCATGAGATCATCAAGAACATCTCTGCTATCTCTGATATTTCCATTGAGTCTCTTGATAATGTCTGGAAATTGTTATAGTCACTGTATCTTACTTCAGTATCATTCACACTCATTTATGGCTACATTTTGTAGATGGCCAGAGCAATTTGCCTTGTTATAGTACACAACTGATTTCAGATTGGTTTAAATAGCATAAGTTCAAACTGCTTTTATGACTAGCTGAGTCCTATTCATCATTTCTGAGATCATTTTAATGTGTATGAAACTGAGTTGTCACAATGGGCTATTATTTCTCATGGATAATAGAAGTACCTTGTTGAGTCATACCTAAAAGAATATCGACAGCTATCAAAGCTAAATTGTGGACCAATGTGTTTTTAGGGAAGTTTCTCTTATATTTTGGCTGCTAAATGTGTGTAAGTTATAATAGTTAAAATTTTATAGTCTGCAAAGTTTATATTTTTAACTAGTTCTAAAAAAGAGTTAGAAATTAGAAACTATTAGAAATTTTAAAAAATATATTTTTATTTGAAAAATAATATTAATCTGAAAAAAATATTTGACGGAGCAACCCAAGGAATGTTATTAACTTTATTTCTAAAGTTGCATAACAGTATTAAATAACTAGAATAATGTTCTCATTTTAGTTTTATAGATGCTAATTTTCACTGTTGAAGATAATGAAGTTGCATTAATTAAAGTTGTAGGTTCCCTTTAGTAAGTGTAATTGATTTACCGTGATTAGTTTATTTCCTAAAAGTGACTTTGTAGATGCATTAGGTTATTTTGAAGCAGACATGTAAAAAATATGTAATACCCTTGCCGGGACGTGAACCAGGACCTCTCGAATATTTGGCCAGTGTGCTACCGTTACACCACGAAGGCATGCTGGAAGGAGGGAGAAAATATTTTATAACTTAATAGATGTATTAGATATAATTGCATCAGAATAATGTTTGCATGGTATATATTTTCACCTATTTTCTAAACACAAAACATTTCTTTAATTTTAAAATGTAGTGTAAATTATAAGCAGTATTTTTAATTAAATTTTTAAAACTGTATATGGAAAAGAGGCATGCCATTATATAATATAAAATTAAACTAAAATCAACCCTAGGTTAGCATTTATAGTGACCACTAACAGTCAATGTGTATGTTTGCCTAACTTTGTATTTTAAAGCTATTATATTCTTTGTACATTTTTAATTTAGTGTTGAGAATTTTAATACTTTTATACATTGCAAACGGTAATATGTAATATTTATTTATTCTTTCTTTATATAGCATTGCAAGAGCATAGGATTTCTAGGCAGTTTTCAACTGATTCAATGTCTAGTGTTAATTCATGTTCCAGTGCTTGTAGTGGAAATAGCGGTAAATCTGGTGATGCTTTAAGTGATAAAAAGAAAAAGAAGAAAGGCTGGGTATGCATCTTTTATTTTTACATGTTTTTAGGGATAAAATGTAAATCCATCTAAATATTAGCAATTGTTCCACATTAATATGTAGCTAGGAAGTCCAATAATGGTGTTGTGCAATAGTCTTGAAACATTATTGCAGATGTATAGTTCAAGTATGTAATTCTTTAATAACCATACAATTTGATTGCAAAAATCCTGGAATATTGAAATTGTGTTTTTTTAAGTGTTATTCGCATTGTTTACATTCTGCCGTTCACAATGAGCTCTTCTTTTTGAAAGCAATTCTCTTTTAAAAAATTTTCGGAGTACTTCCTTGTTAAAGAGGCCACTGCATAAGCCTTTGGAAAAATGGGAAATTTGCACATAATACTTTTCTTTAGTTTTTTTTTTTTTTCAAATAACTTAAAAGTAACTTTGTTAGAAATACCTTTGTGGAGGACTTTCTAAGGTAAACTGATTTGTTTTCATGCTACACATGGGAAAAACCATTGCATATCACAGAGTGGATGAGTAAGTTTTTGAATTTTATGCTTAAAGGCAGTGGCTGCTTTAAGGGGAAGTATCTTATATATGTAAGATATAACAAAATATGATAGCTGTTTAAAAAAAATAGTTGGCGACCTAAAAATTAACATTCTAAATTTGGTGATCTGTCCCTAAATTCATCTGTTCTCACAGGTTCCAGATTTTTCTGTCTTACTTAATGTTTTAATGCAGATGCCTCTTGTTCCAATCAAAATTAATTTTAAACCAAAACTCTGAACTGAAACTTTCCCATTCCCTACCTCCTTTATCTGAAAGTACTATAGCTCTTCCTCTTTTCCGCATAAGCTCTCCGGCCGGCAAGATGCTTTTTATGTATGCTGCTGCCGCTTACTTACTTAACACGACGTCGTACTTTAAAATGCAACTTACTGCATTCAAATATAATTAGGAAATTTCTTGTCTGAAAAAGGATGATTTGATATGCGTAAAAAATAAAGATTGTGATTTTTCAAGATACGTTGTGCTAAATTGCATTATCATGCTTTCCACTCTGCCACCTTCAACCTACTATAGTCATCTATGCAGTATCTAAGCTGTTGAAAGTTCTACTGATTTCATCTACGCATTTTAAAATTATTACATATGTATATTGGAAATTCTCATGTTGATTATGTAGAACATGATGAATGTATTAATTGATTCAACACCTTTTATTTCTTGATAAAAAAAATTTTTTGAAGCAGACATATATGTTAAAACCAATGCTGTGCATCTGCCTGGGCTTCATTTTGCACTTATAAGATTTTTATAATATATTTGAGATACAAAGAGATAGAGAAGGCTAGCATGCTAGCAGGATATAGAAGCTGAGTGTGCAGATTTTAATATGAAACTTAAGTTAAGACTAATATAGTTGTGCGTTCCTTTATTCCTATTCAGTAATTAAATTTTTTATTTGAAAATTTTAATACTATTATTAAATGAAAGATCTTTTTGCATTATGCAAGTACATAATATATGAGAATTTAATTTATTATATGAGAATCTAATTTTATATGAGCATTACAAGCATTATATGAGTAGTGTTATATAAAAATCACCTGGCATGAATTAAGTTTGAAACGGCAGAGCTCAGAATTGAATATAAACATGTTGCTATTTTTTTAGGGTAAGAAAAGGAAATAAAAAAATTTAAAATGAGACTTAGTCACATCAAAACAAAAGAGAAACATAAAATTATCAAAGCAACAATCTTGTACAGTCAAAAGTCGTTAATTTGGACACCCATAATCCGGAATGATCTATAATTCGGACCTCAAAGCTACAAACTTTCTGCGCATGCGTAGTGCTGACGCATGCGCATAGGCGTTTACGTGTGCACGTAAGACCTTTACGGCTGCGAATGTGCGTGCGCGCATGCGCATAAAACGTTTACGCATGCGCGTTTAATGTATAACGGACGGTATAAGCTAAGCTAAAATTATCTAATTCAGTTAATGTTGCAGATTGCGTTGTTCCTTAATCTTCGAATTGGATCCGGCTTATTATTTTTTGCAGACTGTTAGAGCAATTTTATAAAAGTAAGCTTGAACTTTCGATTATGTCAAATAGAATTTCCGATATATATTTGCTAATATGTAAAGGATCTAAAGCGAAAGTATGTTTCGAAATCCGAAATCTGTTTATCAATTTCACGCTGCTCGGCGGGGGAACGCCGTGGCGCGCAATGAATGGAAGTTGATCTGTCAGCACTATCCTTATCTCAGGGCAGATGTTTTTATTTATTTGGCTTTTATAATTCCTTACTAAATGTAGTATTTCATCTCGATGTACTCCGTCTTTGATATGATTTAAATCAAGTTCCTCGTCATTATAATTCGCTTCCGATAGTAAAGAAAGTGACACAGAGGTTATTGAAAACGAAAAATTTCGATTGACAAATTAGTCGGTATTCTCGACACAGCAATTATAGGACTTGAACAGCGGAACTTTGTAACTGAACAAGAAATTATGTCTGTTTAATAGAATTAAAGAGAAAGTATTATCACATGAAACGAAAGAACTTAAAGCAACTTACATTGAAAGAAATGTTTAATAAAGTAAACAAATAAATAAATATTAAGCTTTTTCTTTTTGCAAATTTTGATACCTTTTAGATCATAATTGTTCTTTATTTCATAAATTACGGTTTCATATTTTTAATTTTGCAATTTCTGCATGCCATCTTACCAGATTTAAACTGATGATCTATAATTCGGAAAAATCGATAATCCGGAATTGCCGAAGTCCCGACGAGTCCGGATTAACGAGTTTTGACTGTATTTGTCATAGATTTAGTTAATAGCTCAATCAGTTTCGAGGACAAAGAGGTTCAGGTCCCTCTTCATCAGCAGCAAAGAAATCTGCAAGACTGGAAGACTGCAAAGAATTTGCTAGTCGTGCAAATTTCCTTGCTGCTGATGAAGAGGGACCTGTACCTGCTTGCCCTCAAAATCAATTGAGTTATTGACTAAATCTATGCCAAACACAAGATTGTTGCTTTGCTAATTTAGTCTCATTTTTAATTTTGTTATGAAATTAGTTTTTAATTTTGTTGCATTTCAATTCAGTATTTTAACTTATTTATTTATTTATTAGTTTAATCTTACTTATATATGTACAATTTCTAAAATATTCTTCTAAGGAAATTCTATGTATTAAGAAGTATTCTGCTGCTACTCTTTAGAATCTACCTCAATGCTTCCACATTTCTTTGTCATTTGTGGTCAGGTGTCCATTTTTCTAATGATTTTTTGATTATGTGTTGGATTTCCTTAGTAATATTTTGATTTTTTGTTTATAGCTAAGAAGTTCTTTTAGTAAAGCTTTTTCTCGGAGTAAAAAGAATAAAAATGGCTCCGTGTCGGATGTGGAGGATTTGCGGCATCTTCAGTCTGATTCCTCGACTCCAAATTCTCCGCTTCTGGGTGCAGGACATGCAAATGGTGGGAATTCACAGACTCTGAAACAGTCACATTCATCTTCTGCGTAAGTTTTTTGCAAGTTTCTTATCTATAGAAGTTCTTGATTCAGGTTTAAAGTGTCAACCTTCAGAAAAAACACAACTTTGCAGAATACTATATACGTTGGCTGGAAGATTAAATTATCTGCGATTCATGTATTTTATAGATCTTTTCTGTTATTGAATACCATGTGTCAAGCAGTTTTCTTTAAAAAGATATATATGTGCTAACTTGGTATTTCAGGCAAATAAAGAAAAATCAGCTTTATTTGATTCTTATATTAATTCATGTGAAGTTACTGGAGTAAAGACAAAAGACCATTTGAACAGATTTTAGCCAACACTGTTATATATTGGCCTCCTCTAAATTAAATGCATGCATTGTGCATGTTTCTTATAGCAGTGTTATTATTTTCAAAATAAGTATTGACATTAAAATATTTTTTGTGTCATTTTGTTTTAGTTCTTTGTTTATTCAAATACTGACCTAAGAGATATACTTTTAATGTTTAAAAAAAATTTACTGCCATGTTATCCATACTGTGTTTCTCAATTTCTTTTGAAGTGGAGACCTTTTGTATAAATTAGTATATTTTATGGACCACCTTATTTATTGCCGTCTTTGAAAGCAAATTAATTTAATTATACAGTCAAAAGTTGTTAATCCAGATTCGTCGGGACTTCAGCGATTCCGGATTATAGATGATCAGTTTAAATCTGGTAAGATGGTATGCAGAAATTATAAAATTAAAAATATGAAACCGTAATTTATGAAATAAAGAACAATTATGATCTAAAGGGTAACAAAATTTGCAAAAAAAAAAAAAAAAAAAAAAAAAAAAAAAAAAAAAAAAAAAAAAAAAAAAAAAAAAAAAGGTTTATTTGTTACTTTTAAAAAAACTTAATTTTTATTAAACAAGTGTTTAAGTTGCTTCGTTTTATGTGATAATACTTTCTCTTTAATTCTATAAACAGACATAATTTCTTGTTCAGTTACAAAATTCCGCTGTTCAAGTAATATAATTACTGTGTCGAGAATACTGACTAATTTGTCAATCAAAATTTTTTTGTTTTCAATAACCTCTGTGTCACTTTCTTCACTATCGGAAGCGAATCGTAAACACAAGGAATTTGATTTAAATCATATCAAAGACGGAGTACATCGAGATGAAATACTTCATTTAGTAAGGAATTATAAGCCAAATAAAATAAAAACATCTGCCCTGAAGATAAGGATAGTGCTGACAGATCAACTTCCAATTCATTGCACGCCACCCGTGGCGTTTCCCCCCTCCCCCGCCGCAGAGTAGCGTGAAATTGATAAACAGATTTCGGAATGGTTAGAGAAATAAAGGATATGCCTTTATCCATTTTTTGCAGCAATTCCACTTTTTGTTTGATGTACATCGAAACATACTTTCGCTTTGTAGATCCTTTGGGAGCTCCAGCATCAGAAATTCTATTTGACATAATCAAAAGTTCAAGCTTACTTTTATAAAATTGCTCTAACAGTCTGCAGAAAATAATAAGCCGGATCCAATTCGAAGATTAAGGAACAACGCAATCTGCAACATTAACTGAAATAGATAATTAGATAATTTTAGCTTATACTGTTCGTTATACATTAAACGCGCATGCGTAAATGTATTATGTGCATGCGCACACGCATATGTGCAGAAAGTTTGTAGCTTTGAGGTCCGGATTATGAGTGTCCAAATTAATGACTTTTGACTGCATATATAATATCCAGAGTTTGTATAATCTTTTTAACTAAACATTAAATAATTTTTTTCTACTCGCATTAATGATATGGATGAGCCTGCTGATTCTTGCATTGGTGTTCTATGTTTCATGTATGAATCTATGTTGGTAAACTGAAGTCTGAGATTATCACATACATTAAGTCAGTGTTTGTCCTTTGTCGACGAACATTTAAACCCAAACGATTCAAAACACAAAAGTCTGGTGAGATAATACGTGCAGACTTACTTGAATCGCCAGTCTTATCAAGAGGTGGAAAGAAGTACATGTTAGTGATTAAGGACAATTACTCTTAAGTTTCGACATGTAGAATTTCTGAGACATAAAGATGAGGCTATCAAGCAGTTTCTTGTTCGGACCAACGAAGATGGTATAAATGTAAAAGAACTGGTCACTGACGGTGCTCGTGAGTTTGACAATGATAAATTGGTGAAAGTGACTGATTATACAGGCATCAAGCTGCAAATCACTATGCCATATACATCAGAACAAAACGGATTGGTTGAAAGGGAGAATCGTACAATAATGAATGCAGTTCGCACTATGATCAAGATTCAGGCCTCCACATTACCTATGGGCAGAAGCAGCATCTACGGGTGTCTACATTCTCGATCGAACAGGACCAAGTAAGACTACGGGAAAATCTCCATTTGAGGAATGGTTTGGACGCAAGCCGGCAATCAACAGAATTCGAGTTTTTGGATCAGCTGCATTTGTACATGTACCAAATGTCAACTGAGGTAAATTAGATGACAAGGCTATAAAGGGCTATTTAGTTGATTATTGTGATGACAATAGGTATCGCATTTTCATACCATCAAGGAATGATACGATAAAAAGTGCCAATGTAGTGTTCACTGAACAGTAAATCGGGCCTATATCCCAACCTTCAAAATTAGCATCTAACACTGGTCTATCAAGTGGTATGAAGTTTATTTTGGAAGATGCACACAATGATGCAGATACACAGGGGCTGATGATTTGTGCACTGATGAAGATGAACCAATACAGGTGACTGTGCGTACATTGCGAGACCGTTCAACTATCCAACGGCCTGTCAGATTTAATGACTACGACGTGTATAACAGCATTCTGAAGTTGGAAGAGCCTACAACATATGATGAAGCAATGAAGTCTCCTGAATATGCCGACTGGAAACGAGCCAAGGACGAAGAAATGGCTTCACATGCCAAAACATGGAACATAGCAACTTGTTGAGCCACCTAACAGGACGTAAAATCCTCGACAATCGCTGGGTTTACAGAGTGAAGACAAATCCTGATGGCTCAATCGAGAGATTCAAGGCCCATTTACTAGCGAAAGGGTACAAACAGATGGTGAATATCGACTACGAAGACACATTTAGCCCGGTGTGTTGCTATGATACTATTCAAGCTCTAATTGCAATGGCAGCCAAGGAGAATCTCAACTTATATCAAATTGACTTGGAGACGGCATTCCTTTATGGTGACCTAACTGAGGAGATCTACATGTATCATCCCGAAGGCTATAACAACGGAAGTAAGCGTGTATGCAAGATGCTTCGACCTTTATATGGCTTGAAACAAGCTGGACGATGTTGGAATGCCAAGTTTACTGATGTGCTGAAGAAACATGGTATGATACAAAATAAATCCGACAACTGCCTGTTCATGCGAAATGATTATAGACATAAGATGCTGATGGCGATTGATGTTGATGATGGCATTGTCGCTGTTCAGGACAAAGCAGCATTCTTCACATTTATGGACAAGCTCGACTTTAAATTGTTTCCTTGGTTTACAAGTTGAACGTTTGAAAGACGGCTCACTCTTCCTGCACCAAGAAGCATTTGCAAGAAAGATATTAGAATGATATGGAGATGCTAAGCCATCACACATCCCAGTAAAGAAGTTGAGTCTCAAGGTCGATTATGGTCAACCGAATGACGGCGGCATGATGAAGATTGAGGAGGCAAAGCTTCTCAGCAGTCAAATTCCATACCGATCAGTAGTTGGCAGTTTGCTGTCCTTGGCGATGGGCACCCGACCGGATATTGCTTATGCAATGAGTTTGATGTCTCAAAAGCTGAACAATCCTATAGAGATTGATTGGGATGTCGTACAGACAACATTAAGGTACCTTCGCAATACCATAGGACATAGCATTGTGTACAATAATGAAGATGATATAAGTTTGATGTTGTTTAGTGATGCAGATAACAACAGCTGTGCAGAAACACGCAGGTCTTGGAACAGGTGTTATTTCTTTCTATGGTGGAGGTGCAAATACGTGGCGAAGCAAGCTACAGGAGGCCATATCCAATTTGACGATAGAGCCAGAGTTCATGGCAGCAGCTGATGCTACAAAAGATCTGATATGGTTGAAGAGCTTGTTAAATGAGATAGCTAATAATGTCTCATTGCCTATCCTAAAAATTGATAATCAGAGTACTATCAAGTACATAAAAAATCCAATGTTCCATGCATGCACAAAGCACATTGACCAAAGGTACAAGTTTGTGCAAGATGAGTTCTCTAAGGGACATTTTCAATTAGGCTATGTCAGAAGTAATGAACAACGAGCAGACATTCTGACGAAGGCGCTTCCAGCACCTCAGTTTCATTTCCAGAAGAAGTTGATTGGTTTAAAAACAGTCAAATTTGGTTTAAAAACAGTCAAATAAGTAAAAGTTAATCTGTATGAACAATGACAATTTTCATGCTCGAAGGAGGCTGTTGAGAATCGAGCATTTAATTAATATTATGTGCAGTTTCAGTGGCATCATTGTTTTATTGTTTTATTATGTTTTATGCATCAGGTATTACTGTTATTTTTGTCATTCTAAAATTTTTCATGTAAACAGTAAGACATATGTAATTTCTCTTTACCTTTTTTCCGTAATAAAGTCCAAAATTCAATTAGCCATCACTCTGCATGTTAATTTTATAATACTTATGTATCTAGCATGTTAACATCAGTGACGTGTTTCCTGTAAAAACACAAAGCCATATGATATTTCTTTGTTACATTCTGTATGACTGCTGAAGAATCACATAACAGGATTTCATTTTTAGATACTTTGTAATCTAAAGAATTTATTCAAATTAATAAAGAGAATATAGTTGGTAATAGACATATTAATGCATACAAAAATAATATCTATCATAGTCTATAGTAAGATATGATAATGGTACATTACAACTAAGCAACCATTCAGACACATTATCAAATCCCAAAACTTTTCTACTGTAACAGAATGCCCTCTGTTTTATAAAAAATAGAAATTTCAAAAGTAGTTAAACATTACATATATGTCAAGTTATTCAAAGTAAATCACTTTACCCTAATTCAAAAATCAATTTAAGAGATATGTGTCTCCCTCCTTTTTTCAATGACTGAGTCATGGATCAAGTGATCAGAATGGATTGAAAACCACAAAATTGTTTTTTGGGATTAATCAAAATAATTACCTTTACTAAAATTGTTAAAAAATTTAATTAAATATCTGTAAAATGGGAAGAATCATAGCTGAAATAAAAATTGTAAAACCTTTCATTAATATTGAATGTAGCAAAACAAAGGAGGTGATTCTTGGGCCATATATCTAAGTTTCAAAGTATGAACTTGATATCCAAAGGTAGATAAGTATAGATTATAGTAATTAAAGTTCAAAACATATGTAAGATAATGCAGTGATTATCTTTTTATAAGTTTATTAGCTGAAGTGAAAGTTTAGCTTTCACTATATATATATATATATATATAGTGATAAAAAATTAATAAAATAAGATTTTCTCGCACACATGGTGAGGGAAAATATATCTACAAATTCATTTGCGGTTTCATAAATAAATTACATTGCTGGCCATTAAAATCGATACACTATGAAGGTGGCATGCAACAAATGTCAAATTCGCACGAAAAGTATTATGTGCTGGGATATACAGATGCTTAGATTCGAGCATAAAAATGGTATGAGTAATGTCATATGTATTGTGTATAAATGGGAAGATAGCACTAGGGGTTTCTCATTTGGAAATCACATTTGAATATTGGTTGTTTGTGTAAAGATTGAGTTATGCCTCATATAAGAAGGAGAAAATTGTTCTAGCACATGTTAGAATTCGACCACAGCAGATTCATGTCCTTTCAGAACTGAGTTTATAATTCTGCAACACTGCTGCTCAGGTTGATTAAGATTCCATGACTGTAAAGAAAGTATAAAATCAATGAATGCAGGACAGCCATACTGAACATCATATATGATCCCAGAGGCCTTGGGCTGCTCTTGCTCAAAAGAACAAACACATTCTTCTCTCAACCTCATGGGATCATGTAGCTATGTCACATACCCTAAGTCAGAAATTTGTATTGTATGCAGGATGAGAATTATAGGACAGGTACAGGGACAGTACGATGATGTCTGTTCTTTTCTGCCTTTCAATGCACTAACCATAGTTGTACCTGGAAATCCTTGGAACCCTTGAACTGCTGCAGAGACAGGTGGCACATATGGCACATACAGTGGGGTGACAAATGATGACACTGGCCACATTAATGGTACCAGGTCATTTTTCAGACAAATCCTAGCTCCAAGCACAGCATCATGATGGACATACCTGTGTGTGAAGGCACCAAAGAAAACAAATAGTGCGAGCTTGCATCACACAGGCCCAGCACCTGAGCTGCTACTGGGTACAGATGCCAGGAACTTCTTGTTTCCATAGCCAGTAATATGGGCAGCTGGTATTACATTTCTAATGTGTTAAGGACCATGGCTGTGCAATATCTTGGAGGCCTGCACCATCTTTCAACAAGATAATTCATGACTGCATGTTACCCATGTTGTCCTGACTTTCCTCAATGCAAAGATTTTTTTCCTGTTGCTGTGGCCAGCATGTTCCCATATTTCTCTATCATTGATAATCTTTGGTCATGGGTTGCCGACAGACTGGCATGTGACCTCTCTACATCCTCTATGGTTGATGAATTCTGGCACAGATTTGTGGTTGCAGAGTGGAAGTACTCATGTTTGTCATCCAAGCTGAGTTTGACTCTATGCCCAGCCAGACTACAATCATTTTTTGCTGCCAGAGGTAGTAACTCTATGTACTGAATTCTGCATGCAGTATGCCCCTAACCAATTGCAAATTTAATCATATCATCCTTCTATTCTACTGTATATGTAAAATAAACAAGACTTTGCTCTTTGCTTTCCTTTCTGTTGTAGCAGTTTTAATAGTCAGCAGTTTACAGTGATGTACCTAAAACAGTTATTTCTGTGTTAGAACCATGTATGAATATATAGCATGCATATATTTGTGTTGGTTATTTTATCATATTTGTGGTTACATTAGTTTTTCATACTTTTATAATTTTACATAATCTGTATTGTCTAGACTTTATGAGAAGGAAGATGAAGATTCACCCGAAGTTGTTAAAGATCTAAAAAAACAGTTGCGGGAGAAAGATATGATGCTAACAGACATACGTTTAGATGCTTTAAGCTCAGCGCATCAACTAGAAAATTTGAAGGAAACTGTAAATAAAATGAGAGTAAGTTTTATTTTTTTTTCTCTTATTTTTCTTGAAAAAAATATTATTTCAGAATACCTGTTAAAAGCTCTTAATCCTTACTATAGTAATCTTTCTTTATAGTAATATTGTTTACTTTTTGAGTCTTTGCTTTTGGTTAACTAGTTTTGATAGCATTTTGAGTTATTATTCTTTAATTCACTTGCAGAGTGAAATGTTGAGCTTGAAGCAGGACAATGATAGGTTACAAAGGCTTGTATCTACAAAATCTTTAACTTCATCTCATAGTTCCTTACCACTTAGAAATAGCTCAGAAAGCTTAGAAAAAAGACTAAGTGCATCGGAGCATTCTGGGCCTCCAAGCATAGGTAAGAACTTGTTATGCATTCCATTAAAATAGTGAAGTTGAATTATTTCTGATAGTTTATTATATAATATTGTTATTATAATAATTATTTACCTTATATCCCCTTTCCTAATAAATTTACCACTCAAAAATCAGGGGAAGAAAAATATACTATACATACTGTTTCTGAAGAAACAGCTTAAATGATAAACATGGCACATTAAAAATACATATTGTCATTTTATTTACACAAAGTACTTTTCAATATGTGCATACATTTTACATTACTACACTAAATCAAAAGTTTCTAAATCATGTGCTGAAAAAACTAGGGGTAGAAATACACAGGTAAATATGATACATGATTTTAATACAAGATATTAGCCTTAATTATTACCTTAAAAATTACCTTACAGAAGCATGTAGTAAAATAGGTAAAAAATTAACTTAAATCTGAACTGAGTGTCAGTTGCTTATGCGGCATTTGTAATTTAATAACTCCACTCATGTTTGTAATATCAGAAACGCCACTGATCAAATTGCTGATAATGGGCTGACCAGAATATTTATTTTGAAATTTTCAAACCAAAAAAGAAAGTGAAACAAACAAAATTATAAAGAAGAGTAAAGAATGAACCAAGTAATCTCTCTGATAAGATGTAGGGAACTGATTGTTAAAATCTATATAGTGATCAAAGTGTTATTGTGTTGGTGAATTATTTGATGTGTGGTTCATTTAGTCATTACTACATTTTTGTAGCAGCTTGGAATTGGTCAAGTCTGACCAAATAAAATATCATTTTGGAATTTTTCAACGTTTAATAAAACTCTGTTTATAAAGTTATATTTACATATTGTTCACACCTATAATAACATAAAAATTTCACTTATCTTCATGTTGAAAATTAACCCTGGCATGGTTTTCCCTAACTTGAAAAAAAATTTAAAACTCCAACATCACAATTTTAAACACAGGGGGCCTCATTTTCTGAATGCAGCAAATTGGTAAACTCCACAATATGTTCAGCAGATTTCATATTGAATATCACCCAAGCATTTTAAAGTGTGTAACTGATATTATTCTAATTAAGTAATTTCATTTGCATCTAATAATAATATGCAAAAATTAGATTGTTTAATCTTCTGAAATCAAAAGATAAGCGAAAACATTGCTAATAAAAATCATCCTGATTCCAACTTAATACTTCTCATTTCATGTTGATGTACTACTATGCATATTCCAGCCATAATATAGCCATATATTTATAGTCATAATTATTCCACATTTTCTTTTATTAAATCCTTTACAGCTTTACAGATATTGAAATTCTTCTCTACGTAAGAAAGCCAACATTTAATTTGAAAAAGCCTTGTTGAGAAAATTTCTGAGAATTTATCTTAAACTAAAAAAATTCAAATATTCTATTACTATTATTTACTGTTGCTGTTGTTAATTGAGATTATTATGTGTAAATGAAATTTAGCAAGCAAGTGAAGATACATTGACTGATGAAGAATTAAATTGCTGAATCAAAAGAATCGGTTTTTAAAGTTTGCTATATATTGTATGTAGCATATGAGTTCTTTTTTATTAGCTTCTGGTAACAATGAAATCATTTCCATGCATGATCAAGAATTATTTCACATTACTATTTGACCATTTGTGAATTAGATGCAGCAGATGTTTTCATCAGAAATACATATTCTTCCCCTTCAAAGAAAAAATAAAGTAAAATAATGCCGTTAACTGTTAAAAATTAAAAAGCAATTTTTAAAATAATAATTCAGAATACTGAATAATATAATTTGGGAAAAGAATCTGAAGCTTCTAATTTTCTTTGAAGCTTCTAATTTTCTTCTTATAGCTGTAAATCTGATTCTAATTTTGTTTCTAATAACTGCAAATCTCATGTTTATAATTAAATTTGTTTTTGTAGTATTTATATTATTAGTAATGTATTTTAATAAGCTATGAGGTGGAATGCTTTGCTTATGGGAAAGGAAACTGCAACCATCATTGCTGTTTGAAGCGATAAGCTTTTCCCCCAAAGAAATTGCAGAATTATTTAACTTTTTTAAATATGTGCTTTAAAATTTTCAAAATGACATTAATTAATACATTGCAGCAATTAAAATAGGTAAACTTTACTGTAAATTAGTACTATAATTTTTAGTTTTAAGACCTTATGTAAACTATTGCAATTTTATAATTGTAATATTTTCTAATAGTTTAAGTTTTATAATTTGATATTATAAAAAAATTGTAGCTATTCAAAAAATTGTTAATTGTGAATTTCTTGTTACTTTAGAAATAAAAATTAATAACGTTTATGTATTTAAACTCTTTTATTTGCAGCTGAAATGTACCTAAATGAACCGAGAAGTGACCAAGATGGAAAATTAGTCAATGTATCTGTCCATCTTGGGTGCCATGGGGATAGTTCTTTATTCCAAAGGCAAAATATGGTAAACTTCTAACTTGAATGTCTTTTTTTTTTTTTTTTTTTTTTTTTTTAAGTTAAGCATGTTATGCGTTGTGTTTTTGAATGTATTGCTTTATATTATTTTTTTTAATAGACATCATCTGAAGTACTCATTGGAAGTATTTCTGTCAGTTCAAAAACAAAATGGGATCTCTTAGACAACTTTGTAAAAAGATCTTTCAAAGTAAGCAACAATTTTATTTTAATGTAATTTTCCATCATTTTTTTATCAAATTTTAATTTTATTCAGTTGCAGTTGTTATATGTTTATAAAATTTTATGTTATAAATTTTTATCTTATAGGAATATGTCTTAAGAGTAGATCCCGTTTCAAACCTGGGGCTTAATGCCGAAAGTGTGATCAACTACCATGTAGGTGAAATCATACGGGCAAAGGGTATGTAAAAGTCTTATTTTAATCATAGCATAGTATATTTTTTAAGTCCTATTTGTATCAATAGTTTCCAGTAAATTTTTAATTATTATTTAACTATCATATTTAAAAAACTGAATCAGTGAATTTTTTGTTGATAGCATACAATTTATGTCAAAATTACTGTACTGAAAAATGTGTTATGTAATAAAAAATTTGATGTTATTGAAATGTTCGTCATCTTTTAAAATATTGTATTATATAGTGGTTAAAATCATTTGATTTATGAGGTTTGTAAGTAACTTACACAGTAGTAAATTTTTTTATTTACATTTTTCTTAAATGTAATTTTTTTAATGTGTCAAACATTTAATATCTATATATTTTAACTTACAGAAGTTTTCTTTATAATTTCTGTATAATTTTTGTGACTTGCCCTTTTAAGTGACTTGCCCACTCCCCTTTTAAGAGCATGGATAGTCAATAGGTTTAACTATATTTCCTATTTAAAATAATATATATATTTACTAATAGATTATAAAATATATTATCTCTTTTGATTATGTATAGTATTGATGTACTAGAACTTTCAGTTGGAACCTTCATTCTTTTCCTGAATTGCATGTAAAATTTATGTATAAAATTCCTTTTTATTATTAATCAATGTTTCTTTTAATGCAGAGTTCAGCTAAAAAGCAAAATGCTTCTTTTAACAACTTTTTTTTTAAATGCTTCTTTTAACAGTTTCAATAATATTCACATAGTTCTGTAGAAATTTATTCGAAAAATCTCTTTGTTTAAAATCTTTGCAAAAATATTTTGCTACTGCAATAGGCGCTGCTTTTTGTGACCACATTTGTTCATGGCTATTTTCATATCATTAAATAGTATGAAAAAATAGCCTTCAAAATATCAACGGAATTTCACTAATTTAATATAAATATAACTAAAAGCTTATAAAAGGTACTTTAACAGCATTTAAATTATTAAAATACAATTATTGCTTATAAATGTTCATAATGTCTTTAACACCTTTAATTTAATAATGTCATAATGTTCTTTTACTCTTTTCTTTAATACAAGTTCATATATATATATAATAATGAAAAACATCTTGGATGTCAAACAGTGCTTTGAAAAATGACAATTACATTCAAAGTAATTCCACAAATGGTATTCCAAAATGCAGTGGAGAAAATGTCTTCAGAAGACAGAAGTGAGAATGTGTGTTATTTTATCTATGAAGTTTATGCAAAATGGGTAAGGTGCAAAGATTCATTACACATTATTACATTGAGGGAAAAAAATAATAAGTCATAGCACAAATATTTGCAATGACAATGGCAAGTCTTGCTTAAGAACATTTTAAAAAGTAAACTGAAACAAATCATATTGAGCAAGTTTTTAATGGGAAAAGAGCCCAGCAATTCTCAAGTATTGGAGAATGGTGGTAAGGGGAAAAAATATTGGATGGACAGCTATATATATATATAAAATGCATTAGTGTAATCTTAATTTTCTAAGAAATTAGCCTTTAATAAGGTTCATTTTGCAGTACTTTTAATCTTCAGTTCCTAGAGGATAGTCAAAATAGAAAATAAAAAGTCAAATTTTAAATTCATAATCTTAGCAGCAGTAGTGCTAGATTTTTAAAGTCCATTTATACTTGTTTGCTTATTTATTATGTAATACATACTATATATTGTAATTTTTTGTTATAAATCTTAAAATCCCTTTATTCATTTATTAGATTATTTTAATGTTGATAATTTATCAATTATTTACATCATCAAATCTTAAAATGTACTGAATGGAAACCAAATATACTTGCATATTTCATATGCTATATTTGTAATTAAGTTAAATGTTTTTATTTTTAGATATGGATGTTCCTGAGCTTCTGCCTTGTGGATATATTGTTGGAGACAACATGCAAATTAAAATTGTTATAAAAGGTACTAAAAATATCACATGCATAATTTTTTTTTGTGCTAAAGATATAAGAATTTAAGAAATTTAAAATTTAGGGCATCAGAAAAGAAATATATAAGTATTTAATTTTATGTTATATTTTTTCTTATAGGCACTAAACAGCATTCTGTCGATGCTTTAGCATTTGAAAGCTTAATACCAAAATCTATTGTACAAAGGTATATTTCTCTGTTGACGGAGCACCGAAGAATAATCCTGTGTGGCCCTAGTGGAACTGGGAAAACATATATTGCTCAAAAATTGGCAGAATATCTTGTGCTAAAGTATGTCCTGATTTAATATCAAATAAAAGTTTGATTATAAAGTTGATATAGTATCAGTAAAGTTCTAGTAATCTGCAGGCCTTAGGATCAAGATATAATTTATTGAACTACATTGTTTATAGATCATGACTTCCTGAGTTTTGTTTGCACTCATTTTTCTTTCTAATTTTTATGCTAAATTTGCATTATTTGCATACAAATAATTACTAAAATGTTTTTGTAAATAAAACTCGTGTAATACAAAACTATTATGCTTTTAAAAAATACATAATTATTTACACCAACTCAAAAAAAAAAAAAAAAAAAAAAAAAAAAATGGGGGAGAGGCCTAATCCTGTATTTACCATTCTACTCTGCAGATTGACAAAATTCAGCTTTCATTTTTCATGTCTCCAAAGCATGACTTAGGATATATAATAGATTTAGGACTTACTTATTATCATGTCAATGACCAAGTAGCATGATTTAGCACCAATTATGGATGACTCACTTCCTTTAAAATTCCACCATAACGTTTGGTGACCATTGCGAAAATTTCGGTCAACAATCAACAGGATAATACATAAGTGCCTAGATTTATATATAATATTGTTCTAACACACATGTTTTGGCACAAAATTTGACTTTTTCTGGACTTACAGTCACTTTTAAGTCACTTGTACTGCATGAAACATTTTTAAATTATGAATGCATATTGGTATTATCATGTACTTAATTTTCTTAGAATAAAATGATAAATGATATTCATCACAAAATTGTAACACTCTACATATTCTATTCAGTAAGTTTTTGCAGCATCATATCACATATAATACCTTGAAAGCAAAAGGGTTAATTTCACTGAATTTGTACTTTTTGGCAGAATCGATGGAGTGAGTAAAAACACAGGTGTTAAAAATTTGATTGATAAAATTAGCAACATGTGCACAGAGAAGGACAATCTAAAAATTTTTGAAATTATTTAACAAGAATAATTTTAATAAATTCTGATGTAACAGCAAAGATCAGAGAAATAACAATAATGTTAAAATAAAAGTAACAATAATCATTTATTATATTACTTATAATTATAATTCAGATCTTCACAAATCACAGTCTGACTTCTAAAAGTATATTTATTCTAAACCCTATGTTTGTATAAAGATATATTTTGCTTTGAAGAAAAAAGGTAATAGTAATGACTCTTTCAAATGTAAGCAACAGTTTGTTTAGGAAATTTACTGTGCAGTTATTGTCATGAAATACCTTTGGTACATCTTCAGAATAGTAAAAGTCGATATGAGATATATGCGAAATTCACTTAACATTTCGATGTTAAATTTTTTAGGGCTAATTCTGACCAAACTATGCTGTGACTTTTACAAAACTTGGCACTTTGTCATAATGTGTGGCGTAGAATCGATATATGGGGGGGGGGGAAGAACTGGCATGTCATTTCAGAAAAAATCTAATTTAATGTCAAAATACATATGTTAGAGCAACCATATATATAATTCAAATATGTATCCTAAGTTGTTCTTTTGAGACTTGAAAGACGCAAGTTTAATTTCTTCAATCAACTGGGTAGAATGAAAAATTTAGAACTGTCCCCCTTTTCTTTTTGAGTCGGTATACCTGTTTTGAGCCACTTCAGATGATGTTATATATTGATGAATATCAGTTTCATAAATTAATTTAAGGTTTTTATCATTATATTAATTTTAGCAAAAAAATTTTAGAAAAGTTTTTAAAATTAAATATTTAAAATTTTGTATTAATATTTTCTCTTAGGATTTTTATTTAAAGAATTCTTTGATTAATTTTGCCAATCTTCCAAATACAACTCAGGTGCATGGCTCTGTTGATAATTCTTTCTGTATTTGTTTCACAAAAACCAAAGAATTATTAACTGTTATTTTAAACGTATGTGAATTTTGTTTTACTTTTCTATTAATTTACTTTTATTTCAATCCAGTTAAAAAATTTACCATTTTAACTCTGGTCAATTTCACAGTATTTTACATGACAATTAATAGTATTTATTAGTTAAATTTTATTCAGTTTCTGATCTATGCTTGTATCTTATAATAAAATTATAGGAAAGCGTAAATGAATGCATTTATTGAAATATTGACAGGAATTATTAGATTATTTTTCTTCATATGTGTGATTGCTGTGGGTTGGGTACTGTTAATAATTGCGATAAGAATGCATGAATCTGTAGAATATATGACTTTTATGCAACATTGCTCAGTGTACTTTATGAATGATTCACAGTCTTGAAATATTTTTTCTTCTTTTATTCTTAGAAATGGAAAAGATCTTGTACCTGGTTCTGTTGCAACATTTAGTGTTGATCACAAATCTGCAAAGGAGTTGAGACAATATCTTTCAAATGTTGCTGAGCAATGTGAAACAAGGTATGATTTCTTTTCTATATTTTTACTGCTGTCAATGCCTGAGCAGGTATAACAGGTGCTCTTGCACTGGCAGGAGAATTTAGGGACAGCAGAATTTTTTGGCATTAGAGAAATAACAAGCAGCAAAAAATTTAGAAATTAGGAGAGGCTTTGAGCAGAAAAATATTTAGAAATTAGGGAACAGCTGGGCAACAGTTTTCAGGATCCACAAAGAATGCATCAAGTGGCAAAATATCTAGCACCAGCCCTGGGTCCTTGTTAATGTACTTTTTAGATATTCAAGTAGTTAAAATGCTGAATATTTATTCCATGCACACTGTCATACAGGCATACAATAAAAGTGTGCATTTTTCATAATAAATAAATATCTTTCTATAATAAAACTATGTCTTGCTTTTGCTGAGTATAAATTTCTCATTACTGTCTGCTTTAGCTAACAAATCTCCAGCTACTATATTAATTTCAAGAAATCTAAATAGTTAAATAAGCCTATTTATAATTTGCTGGATATTTTATTAAATGTTCTAAATGTTAAATACTAAAGAACAAGGTTCACTTTCGCCTGAAAGATAATCAAAAGTCGGGGAATGAAAAGTTTTCAGGCATAATATAAATTTTTTTCATAAAGGTCGAGAAAAATGAGAACTTTTTTCAAAAAATGCCAGTTAAGTAATGCCAGTTAAAAACGCCAAAGTTAAGAAGTACAGATCAGTCTTCTAATACACCATAATTGGATCAGGCTTACGAAATACGTCAGCTTTGACAAGATTGAAAGTATATTTCTATTTTGAAGTCTCAGTTTTAAATGTATATTTTTGATATTCAAGTTTATAACGAATAAGATGGCTGTTTTAATAGTTTTAGAGCAAAAAATTTTCTCACTAATTTTGTCAATCTAATGCAAATTTTGTTTTTTTATGTGTTCAATTATCCGGAAGTTGTCATTTTCGGTGTGCTGAGAGCTTTTACTGAATTTGAAAAAACACACAGAAACTAAGTGAAAAAATATTCTTTTATTATATTTAAATCTCAAATTGCAGTTAGATTAGTTTGACATTTATCATATAAAAACAGGAAATATCCTTTTCAACCATGTCATATATCTTCATAAATTTAAAAGCTTGAATATTGCTATCATACATTTTGAAAAAAGTAAAAGATCTTTTTTCTTTGTGTACTTAACGTGTACTTCAGAAGAAATAATTTTATTGTTCCTGTATCTTAATTATTAAAACTTTCTTTGAAATGAAGATGAAAATAGATTTTTTTTAATTCATGAGTTATTCTAGAATTTCTATAAAGGCTTTGATTTATTTTAGCAATGCATCAGATCTACCAACTGTGATAATACTGGATAACTTACATCATGTAGGCTCTCTGGGAGAGGTTTTTAATGGTTTCCTTAGTGCCAAATACCAAAAGTGGTAAGTATAAGGCATTAATCATTCTTAAAACATGAAATGTGAATCTTTGATATTCACTCCATCGATTATTTTATATAAAACCGTTATAATATATCTTATATTTTATATAAAAAGCATGGATTTCTTATTTAAATTTATATTTCGATAATATTAATTTTTCAGCCCCTATATTATTGGCACAATGAATCAAGCTACCTGCTCAACAACTAATTTGCAGCTTCATCATAACTTCAGGTGAAATTATATTTTAATATGCTTTGTATGTTTCACATTTGTGTTAATATACACAAAAACCTCAAAGTGTTGTTATTTTAAGTTTTTTGTGACTTATAGTTAGTTGTGTATAATCCATTTGAATATGCATAAAGAGTCTTAAATGAGCCACTAAAAAATTAGTTTTTGTATTTTTTTATTAGTATGTTAAAAATATATTACCAAATCTCTAATTTAATAGGCATAAATAAGCAACTAAATCAATGATAAAAATCATCTGTATTATATTTAAATTATATTAAGTAGGATTTGCTTCAGGCTAGTTTCAAAGATGCATATCAAAACTTTGAAAATCTGAGAATACATTTCTTATGGTCCACTAATTGTCTACCACCATCCACTTCTGAAATACTGAATATTGTAGCAGAATTGTTATAGGTTTGAAAGATCTTAATAACTAAATCCTATGAATAGAAAAAAAATAATATTTTGCAGAAATAAATGAACCAAAAGCTATAAATAACTCAGGGAGGGGAAGAAAAACAGAGATAAGGCGCATTCTCCTTAAATGCAAGGAATACTGTAGATCATGAAAATCACTTATAAAACAAAGCTGATTATAGTTGTGAACTGAACAGACTGCACGCTGAAACATATCTGCCTTATAAGATTGCTGAGCATTTTCAAGGAATATCATACCTAAGGCTTTGAGAATGCATTTTCTGGATACTTTCAGAATGTTACCAAAGCCCACCAGAAGAGCTTATGGCTATATCTCAGGTTTTAACTTTAATCGATTTGGAATTACAAAATTCACAACCTAATATTCACATCAAACATTTACAACCATAATAAATGGGTCCAAATTTAATTAAATAAAACTGCACAGTAAAATTATATCATAAAAATGCTTTAAATAAATGCATAAATAAATCAAAACAATATAAAAGTGCGTAAAAGCAAAACACAGTCAAATATGTTTACATAAGTTTACAACATATGTATGTATTTAAATATTTTTATATATTAAAACTGTGTATTATATTCTGGTTAGTTTTGCATGCTTATATAAATTTTTACATAAATCATTTGTGGAATTATAAAATGAATTAAATTTTTTTTCGGGGGAAGTGTTTTTATTCTGAAAAGAGACGTAAGACGGTGTGAGTTTTTTAGTGCAAGTATATTGATTCAATTTTTCATCTCTATATTATATTTTCTAACAGATGGGTGTTGTGTGCAAACCACATGGAGCCTGTGAAAGGATTCTTGGGAAGGTACCTGAAGCGGAAACTTGTTGAAGAAGAAATACGTAGTGGCATACGTAATGCAGAAATTGCAAAAGTGATAGATTGGATGCCAAAAGTTTGGCAGCACCTAAACAAGTACCTTGAAACTCATAGTTCTTCTGATGTCACTATAGGTAAATATAACAATCTGTTTTGTTTCTATCCATTGTTTAGTTTTATTATTTTCTCACTTGGTGTTCATTTTCATAAAGCTGCATAGCTAGAGATGTAGTTAATCAATCACAGGAAGAATGGCGAAGCTTCTAAGTGAAATTGTAACCAAGACTAAAATTGTTAAAGGGGGAACCAGAATGCTACATTTAAACAAAAATAAAAAAATATATATGCTTTGCATTTTAGGATGATATTTATATTTATTTAGAATTTTAAAACTAGTATCAGAAAACATAATTACTGCTTCTAAATATAAAGCATATATATTGTTGATAATTAAAATTATCACCTATTCAGGCATTATCTTATAATCTGAAATACATAATGTCCACATGCAGGTGTTAATACTTATTAATGGTGTCTGATATTTTATTTATTCATTTTTGCATTTAGCAGTATCTTTCTTTTTCTGTTTGGTGTAAAATGCCCCTTCTTATTTTATAGCTTTAAAAATGCACTGTTTTTGGCAATGGTTTGCATCTGTATGCATTCTTCACATTTCATGTAAGATACTCAAAATCCAGCCACTTTGTTTAACCATTTATTCATATTTTGTCAGTGTTACATCAAACTTTCATGATGCTCATGTTGTGAAGTGCTGCTCGGGAAACTTTTAAATTAAATCTGTGGGAAGCAATAAATTAATTAGTAATGATATTTTCTCTTTTACTGAGAAAAGGATTTGCGGACTTCATGAAAACATTCTCAGAAAACCTTTTATTCTTCGGACGAACTCATACTTTCCTAAAATAAGGAAAACCTTATTGTTTATTATTCACAGATGTCAAACATATCTCTGTTGTGAGAAGTTTTTAATCTTCACTGAAAGGTATATGCAAATTACTAAGTATCTAGAACCTCAGTCAAAATATAAAATAGATAATGGCAAATGCGTTTAAAGATAATTATGCAGAAATTGTAATAAACTAGGATGAAACTGTTGATCTTTTCAAGAAACAGTAAAAGTTAATCTCAATACAGTTTTCAGCATAGATCTGTTGCCAGGAAATTGTAACTTTTAAGGAGCTTTTATTTAAAATCATGCAAAACAGCGCCCTTATTTTCGTATAAATTTTGAATAAAAATATTGATTTCAAGGATGATTTGACTTAAATATAAATTTTACTTTGTGTGTGTCTGTTCAGATTTGATAAAATACTCCTCTAAATATTTTAAGTTTAACAAGTTAATTGGAAAAACATTAACTCTGTGGATCCCACTAAAGCTGATGTCTATATAGTTTTGAGTTGTATGAATGAGCATCTTGAACCAACCAAAATTATTAGTATTCTTTTTAACTGTTGGTGCATGAGATAAACCTATACTCAGACAAGACTTGATTCCAAACGCTTAAAATATTTGGCTTTCATAACTTGTGTTTATTGATATCAAGTCATTGTTATAGGGCAGTGATGGCGAACCTATGGCACGTGAGCCACAGTCGGCAGGCAAAGCCTTATCAGCCAGCATGCGACTAAAATATTATTTCCTTAATCAGTAATCGCAATAAAATGATACTATGCAGTAAGTCTTTTAGTTTGTTCTTGAACGTTTCACTTACATACTTATCGCATAATACCACTGGCATAGAGCTTAAGCCTAGATATCAGATTTTCACATATCACTATAGAAATGATATACATATTTATTGACCCAATTTATGATGTTTCAATTGTTTGGGCCAATCATATGGCAAAAAACATGCCAAAGTTGAAGCAGCTAATGTTTGTGCTAAACAAATTCAAATTTATTGCAGACTGCCGGTGAGTTTTAATAATATTTTCATTTTTAAATAGATTCCAGTTTTCAGATCTAAGCATTTTGAGGTAATTTATGAATAATTCTAATTTAATATCTTAAACGGAATGGCACATGACCATTCCATTTTGGGCACGTGGCCCCCAAAAGGTTCGCCACCACTGTTATACTGTTATGGGGCATTAAGTGCAAAAGCACACCAGCTTTCCTATTCAGGAATGCATGTTGTTCAAGATACCTTTTCTGGACCTCCTGATCTTCAAAAATATGACTATGTACAACCTTTATGTCTCGGTGTAGATTGCTATAGGCAATCACCCATATGGAAAAGAGATCACCTTTAAGAGACATGCATGCATTTAACTCTTATATTTATATTCACTGCTGCTCTAAATGACAATTTATTTATGTAGATTTTTTTAAAATTTTAGAAAGGTTATTATGATAAAAACAAATGTTTTATAAATTTTCAGTACTGTTTTGACAGAATAGCCGAATTGATTGCTACTATGATTCTAGGTATAGACATTTGGTTAAATTAGACATCAAGTATTAATTGTTTTGAAAATTTACATGTTAGGTATTTGTATAGATTCAGAAAAATCATGTAATTTCACCTTTAAAGATGAAATGTGTTGAAAGATATGTAAAAGTTAACCATACTTAATCTGACTGTAGGTATGATTGAGAACATTGTGAAAGAGCAGTCGAACTTGGTAGTTTATGTTTCCCCTTAATTATGCATCTCATAGGATTATAATCATTTCATGTGATAATATAATAGGTACACTGCACAAAAGAAGAAGAAAAAAAAGGGGGGGACAGTTCTATATCTCTTGTTCTACTGGACCAATTGATTAAATTCAAGTTGTGTTTTTCTTGTCTCAGAAGTGCGACTTGGGATATGTATTAGAATTACATATTGTTCTAATATAGGTATTTTGACACAAAATCAGACTTTTCTGAAATGCCAATTTTTTCCCATATTTCGATTCTACGACTCAAATTATGCCAAACTTCCAAGTTTTGTAAAAATCACAGGAGTAATTTTTAAAAAATTAGCACTAAAAATTTTAGCACCTCAATGTTACTCCTCAATGTTAATTCAGTTTGGGTATGTATTTATTAATATCTTTTTTTTTTATTACACTTACATGATTTCTTCTTTCAAAGTTCGAAATTTAGGTTCATTTCAAATAAAATTAACCCATTTTTTATGATTTATTTTTAAAACTTGCATTTTTAAATAATTTTTATAAAAAAAAATATTTCTAATTATAACCTATAAAAGTGTTACCATTATTTCTAAGCATACCTGAAAAAAATTAGCTTTCTATTCAAAATTTCCTAAGATATATTTGAATTTATATATTGGCGCCTTTTCATATTTAGCATATTTGTTGAAAGCGATAATAACATCAGATGTGATTTACGCACTTTGTTAAAATTATTTAAAAGTAGGAACAAAGTCACTTTTTTCCCACTCATGAACAGTGTAAAAAGGTAAAGGAAAATAGGTTGCCATAAATTAAGAAGTTCGCCAAGTGAATTATTCTTGGCTCAAACTGAAAAAAATGCGCCAAGATAAATTTTTCAATTTCTCCATAAATTTCGCACGAAATTGTACAAAATTTAATATTTAGACATAATTTGAATCGTAAAATAAAAATATAGAAAAAATTGACATGTTATTTCAGAAAAAGTCTGATTTTGTGTCAAAATACCTATACTAGAACAATGCTATACAGTCAAAAGTCGTTAATTCGGACACCCATAATCCGGAATGATCTATAATCCGGACCTCAAAGCTACAAACTTTCTGCGCATGCATCGCATTGACCTTTACGGCTGCAAATATGCGTGTGCACATGCCCGAAATACGTTTACGCATGCGCGTTTAATATATAACGGACGGAATAAGCTAAGCTAAAATTATCTAATTCAGTTAATGTTGCAGATTGCGTTGTTCCTTAATCTTCAAATTGGATCCGGCTTATTATTTTTTGCAGACTGTTAGAGCAATTTTATAAAAGAAAGCTTAAACTTTCGATTATGTCAAAAAGAATTTCCGATATATATTTACTAATATGTAAAGGATCTACAAAACGAAAGTATGTTTCGAAGTCCATTAAACAAAAAGTGGAATTGCTGCAAAAAATGGATAAAGGCATATCCTTTGTTTATCTAACCATTCTGAAATCTGTTTATCAATTTCACGCTGCTCTGCGGCGGGGGAACACCGCGGCACGCAATGAATTGGAAGTTGATCTGTCTGCACTATCCTTATCTTCAGGTCAGATGTTTTTATTTTATTTGCCTTATAATTCCTTACTAAATGTAGTATTTCATCTTGATATACTCCGTCTTTGATATGATTTAAATCAAATTCCTTGTCATTATAATTCGCTTCTGATAGCGAAGGAAGTAAAGTAAACAAATAAATATTAAGCTTTTTTTTTTTTGTAAATTTTGATTAAATATTAAGCTCTTTTTTTGTAAATTTTGATACCCTTTAGATCATAATTGTTTTTTATTTCATAAATTACGGTTTCATATTTTTAATTTTATAATTTCTGCATGCCATCTTACCAGATTTAAACTGATGATCTATAATCCAGAATCGCTGAAGTCCCGACGAGTCCGGATTAACAACTTTTGACTGTATATAAATTTAATATGTATCCTAAGTCGCACTTTCGAGACATAAAAAACGCAATATGAATTTCATCAATCGGCTCAGTAGAAGAGGAGATACAGATACTATACCCTCTTTTTTTTGCACAGTATACTTCACTGTTTTGTCTTGTCGATTAATGGAAATTAGTATGTCTTGGTTTCCACAAGAAACAAATGCTTACCATTCTGTATATCTACACATTGTTTATATTTCTTCAGCTATCAAAAATTTCTCTGTGTTTCGTCGCTAGATATTTAATATGCTTGCTACTTTCAATTATACTTCACTGGAAAAGATACTATAGTTTTGTTGCTAGAAAAACATATTTTATGCTTCAAAAGAATTTGTGAAAATAGCCTTAATATGCAACTATATGTTAGAAAAGAAACCATTTGGAAATCATGTCAGTTGCGATAATGTATTTGATACATTTATTATTGGGACTGTGGCCAACAAAATGTATCTGTTTAAAGTGAATTTTAGATATGTTTGTATGCATTGTTTATTTTAAATAAATTGATGACAAAATTGTGTTAAATAAATCATATCATGTAGATATTTAATGATAGTTTCTGTGGTCACTGTCTATTTCTCACCAAAACCACTCTAACAGAAATACCATATAATATTTGTAATATGAAGAATTTATTATTAGTTTTTATATGTGCAGCAGAATTAAATAAATTGGGGGAAATACAGAACATTTCATTAGCTTTCTTCATTCTCATCTTGTCAGGTTTTATTCATAATATAACCTATTACCACTGCTGCATGATTATATTTAATATTTCAGTTAAAAATTTACTTCATTTAAAGCATTATTTAGTTAATTTTTGTGAGGTAGAGTTTCTGAATTGTTATTGTTTATTTTGTTGATTGTTATTGTTCTAATTGTTAAAATTAGATTGAGTACAAGAAACGGTAAGATAATTAGGAAAGAATTATGTAATATGCAAGATGTAAACTATTTATTAATATTATCTCAATAAAAATCAAGACAAATTGCTATACAGATATTATGAATCTGCGTTATCAGGGAATAAATTTTCTTTTACAATAACTTGCCAAAATTTTGTAGAGTTGAAGAGATATTAAAGAATTTTGCTTAATTATGTTCATTTATGCACAGTTAAAAATAGAATCAAAATATTGCTAAAGTAGTTAAATGCAATGTATTTTCATTAAATTCTGTCTGGTAAAATTTTATGACTTTTGAATTTTACAAACATGCGAAAATCATCAACTGATTTAAGCAGATCAGTTCTGAATACTGTTATCCTTTTTAATCTCATTTTTTTTTTAAATCTTCAAACAAATATTTTAAAATTCTGTATTTAGCGAACTTTGAAAATGGAATTGTGTGCTTTTCAGGTCCAAGATTATTTCTCTCGTGTCCTGTTGATCTCTCTGGTTCTCAAGTATGGTTTACTGATTTATGGAATTACAGTATAGTCCCATATGTGTTAGAAGCAGTCAGAGAAGGACTTCAGGTAACTTAGTTTATTTTATTGAAAATATATAATATTCATGGGCAACAGATGATAAATAAAATAATTTTGTTAAAGTTTAATATCCCATCTAATACAAATTTTTAATGCCATATTAATTGAAGCAGTGATATATCCTATATAATTCCTTTGTAATTTTTTCACCATGTCCATAAGACATTCCTGCTATGAAAAGTCAAGGAAAAAAATTGAATTTTTTTCATAAAAATCAGTTCTTTTTTAATTCAAAGGGGGGGGACTACAGATTAATTCTATTAAATACTAAAATAATCATGTTTTGAATAGAAGAAAGTTACTTCTTTTGAAAATAAAGCAAATGAAGAGGACATACAGTATTTACTTTATTTTTAATTATATTTACTTTGCTTTGAATTTTATTATCAGTGGCTAACAGCTGAAGAAGACAATGGTCTTTTTCTGCTATTAGTGGCCTGTCTTTTACTTTATAGAGTTTAGAGATATAACTGTTATATTACTTCTCACTTTAGAAGTAACAGTGAATTTCAGAAATAAATAGTGTGTGGTTGTGCATCACATTAATATTATATTAAATAGACATCTTTTTTCAATTTAGCTTTTCAGGTTTATTTTTAAATATAGTAAGAGTAATATTTATTATAAATTCATTTTGTAGAATGAACAGCTTTTTTTAGAAATTATATTTTCCTTTTAAAAACCCCATTTACTTTTGTATAGTTTGGATTCATATTTCCATGCATATCTTTGCAATCAGAAGTAATGTAAAGTTTTGCAATGCTTTTACTTCGTTCATTATATTTTCTAGTAAAAGAGAAAGTTATTCTGTTTGGTCATAGGAAATTGGGGATGTTAAATTTGGGTACCTTAAAAAAATTTTAAAGCTTACAGTTAAGGTGAAAAGAGTGTTAAGATGAAATGGTTTTTTTTTTAATATAAGTCTCATATATTTTTATGTCATATTATAAAAAATATGTTAATGCAACTGTGCTTTTCTTATTCCAAATTTTAATATCTTTTTGTAATTAATGTCACTCTTTTAAATTCTCATACTCATCGCTGCCAACTGTCCTGATTTTACTGGGAGACTCCCAGTTTTTCATAACATCTACTAGTTTGCCAGTATATCACCAAATCTCCTGGCTATTAATATTTAGCTTTTATTTACTAAAGGAAATGGTTCAACAATAAATGAAGTTTATTGATTTCTTGAAATTTAAATTGTGTGAATTCCACTTTCTCATCCATACTGATTTCTAGTATAATTTTTCTGATTAAAATTTATTTCATCTGAACTGTCTCAATCTTGTGCAAACATTTGCTGCACTGGTGATGAAAATTCAATCAATGTTTATTTGGTTAATATTTGTGTTTAATTCTCTGTTATATGAATAAATGGTACATTACTACATTTATCCACATAATCATACATTAATTAATAATTTTATTTTCAATGTATTTAAAAGTGCTTCGTTAAATAAAAACTTTTCTTCTCAGAATTAAGTGCTAAAATGTTACAAAATGAAAGTAGCCGAACAACATAAAATTCACAATATACAAATTTTATGCACATAAAATTTAGAATTCAATAATTATACTATATTTTACATCAGACTCGTGTCATAAATATTTCAGTAACCTAAATCATGAATTATGATGGGAAATTAAGTCAATTCGGAGTTCTTTTGAAATGGCATCACTGAGCAGAGCCAAAACCTCATGGAAATGTCCAGTTTTCATATGAGAACCACTTGATTTTTAATGTTTCAAGGTTGTCGGTCTGTGCATACTTTATTTTTCAGTTAAATAAGTTTAGTTATTTTATTCTATATATTTCTACCTTATATTCTGTTTATTTTCTTGCTGACGTACAATCTTTGTTAATGCAAAGGTTTTAAGCAATAAAAGAAAAATGCACTTCTAATAGCAAGACGTAAAATATGTTTGCATACTTGCAAGGAAATTAAACAGATCATTTCATGTAAAATTTCATTAAATAAAAAAAGAAAAAAGAAAATTAACAGTACTTCATTATATCTAAGATCTGTGTTTTACTGCCATGAATAAAATTCTGAAAAAATTATACGGTACATAGTCCATAACCCGGACATCCATTATCCGGAATGATCTATAATCCGGACCTCAAAGCCACAAACTTACGCATGCACATTTGATGCACGCATCCGCTGTGCATGCGCGTAAAGCCAGTAAAGCGTTTATCCATGCACGCTTCCGATTGTGAAGAAAGTAACAGAGAACATTATTGAAAACGAAAAAATTTCGATTGACTGGTTAGTCGGTATTCTCGACACAGCAATTGCAAGACTTGGAACAGTGGAACTTTGTAACAGAACAAGAATATATGTCTGTTTATAGAATGAAAGAGAAAGTATTAGCACAAAAAACGAAGCAACTTAAACAACTTACACTGAAGAAATGTTTACTAAAGTAAACAAATAAATATTAAGCTTTTTTTGTAAATTTTGATACCCTTTAGATCATAATTGCTCTTTATTTCATAAATTACGGTTTCATATTTTTAATTGTATAATTTCTGCATGCCATCTTACCAGATTTAAATTGACGATCCGTAAAAACCCCTAATCCAGAATCGCCGAAGTCCCGATGAGTCTGGATTATGGTCTTTGTACTGTACTATGCGGAAGTAGATTCATCTGTTGCTGCATTATTTTAATATTCATGTTTCTAACAACAGTAAAGAAAGATTACATTTTAAAACAGCAAAGAAAAAAAATCTTAGGAATTTTTCCTTCTTTAATTTTTTTTTTTTTTTTTTTTTTTTTTTTTTTTTAAAATTGTGTAATATAAAATAGCTAAGATAGCATCATTTACCGATGTTTATTCTGTAGTTATATGGACGCCGTGCTCCATGGGAAGACCCTGCTGAGTGGGTATATGAGACATATCCATGGCCAGTCCATGGAACGGCCACTGAACCTCAGCTTTTGAGATTAAGACCTGAAGATGTTGGATATGAAGGTCATCCTGGCCCTACTATTGGATCGAAAAGTCACCATACAAATAACCCAAATAGTGAATCTGATCCTTTAGTAAGTATATGCTTCTTTTAATATCTGTATTGTAAAAATGGTATAGATAATAATAAAACTGATATATGTAACATGAATATGACATTTTAATTCTTTACTTAAATACTGGATACCCTCACCCCTTAACTGAAAATACTCATAGCCATTTGTAGCTCGATATATCAGCTGGAATGCCACCAAATTTGGTAGGGGACTAATGATAACATGGCAAGAAAAGATTCAGTGGAAAAAAAAAAATACTTCTGAAGGTCGCGGATGGGGAAAATGTGGTGCTGTTGTAATCTAATCAGCTGAAAATTAGACAAATGAGCTACCTGTCACCAGAAACATTCAGCACAGACCATGATACATTGTCCTTTAAGGCGATCAAGGTGAATATCCCAACATGATAGACCATGGATAACTTCACAGTCACATGGGGCTAGATCCAAGATGGTAAGTGATGGTGTAACAGCTTCGGTACCAGCAGGCAATATGCAGTGGTATTCCATCCTACGTAAAAGTTACGTTAATTCAGCAACTGCCTCTGCTGAAGATGTGAAATGAGAAAACTAGTCAGCATATCATGACACTTTTCTGTGGTAATGGTCTTGTTAGAGTAATGTTCTCAAAAAAGAATGGTCCAGTGATGGAATCTTCTGTGAAGTCATAGTAAACAGTGATGCAATAGTGAATTTTAATGAATGCAATAGGATTTCCTGAACTGCATGGGTTTGTTTGGGTGCCCAGTTAACAACCTCCTCTTTAAGTGAAAATAGGACTCATCTCTCAATGCCAAAGCATCGATTTCCCTGGCAAGAATGTCAGAACAAATACCACATGTTTATCATACTCATTGTGTTTTAATTCCTGCATGTATTATTGTTTGGGTAGAAATAGAGAACTTTCTGCAAGATTTTCGGTACCATCAAAAATTTTAAGCCAACTGTCATGCTACTACCAGCAATGGTTCCATATGTGCCGTCTATAATTGCAGTTGCGGTAGCAGTAACTGTTTGTTTTGACATTGGTTTTTGCCCTCTACCAGACCGAAGGTAAGGATCCTGTTTCTTCAAACTTCTGAATCATGCCTTTTAATGCATTAATTGATGGAGTTCCTTTACATAGGTTGTAACAACTTCTCGTGAAAAGAAGCTGCTGCATTTGTTTGGTGAAGGTATAACAATTATACAGGTAATTTGTGCTGGGGTAAAATGAGACACATGTTAAAAACAGCTGGCATTCGAAATGGCTTTCAATATTTTCGACTTATCCTTATAAACTGAATTACTGCTGCTGCCATTTATGTAACCGAAATGTTATCTACGTGCAAATTCTCAGCTGTGTAAAACAACAGTGCTACATTTTCTCCTGTGACTTTTGAAACTAATTTTTTCCCTCCTCAGAATCTTTTTCTCAAATCATCATTATTCTTAATTATAATATTATTCAAATTTGGTGGCAGCTGGATAGATCAGGCTACAGATGGCTAAGCAGCATCAGTTTAAAAGCATTAGAAAGCATCAATTTAAAAAAAATCATCCTGTATTTAATTTTAAAAAAGTGTTCTCAGACAGAGCTTGATTTATGCAAAGGGAAACAAAGCACATGTCTCTGACCTCCACTTTAAGGATGCTTCCAAATAGTCTTATAGCATTTAAAATACACAGAATTTGATATATTTTCATTCTATGTTTTAAAAATATAAAATTAAGAAGGAACACTATTTTAAACATATTTCGTGATTTTTTTAATTTCTTGAAAGAAGTCAAATATTTTTTTTTCGTGAATATTATTGTCTCTTACTAGGGAGTGATGTTTTTAAGTTACTATATATTTTTATATTTTTAAAGTAAATATAGTAGGTTTCTCTTTTGTGGTAAAGAAAACCAGGAGATCAAATGTCTTAAACAATAGAACACTTCGGAATTATGTAATTCTACATATATTCATATAATATATGTAGGCTCTACATTATACTTAATAATACAGTCTCTGTTTGCAGTTATAAATTCTATTTGTTAATTTTTCATTATGGTTCATGAAAAAACAAACTGTTTTAATTATTATTACATTGATTATTTTGACACTTTTTTGTAATAAAATACTTTTCTTGTCATTATAGTTGAATATGCTAATGCGCTTACAAGAAGCAGCTAGTTATTCAAGTCCGCATAGTAATGACAGTGACTCAACAAGTATGGATAGCCATGGAAGCAGCCTGCATTCTGATGAACTTTTAACCTCAGGTCTTGAATCTACTTTATAATTAACAAAAGAAATGTAGTCTTTAAAGATAACTACATTTATAATTTGTTACTTTAAGTCATTGCCTTTACTTGAGGTATTTTTCTGTCACATTTACAAAAATATATCTCATTTCAGGGAACTGAAAAATAATTGAAGGTAGCAGTTTTGACAGTTACTACATCAAATGCACATTTCCATAAATGAAGTGGTTTTCTATGCAGAACGTGAAACACAGAATGTCTCTAAGTAACACAAAATACAAACAGTGTAATATAAGCAAGCAAAGTTAAGTATCAGAGCTACAAATTTGTTTTTAAAATGTTTGCTTTAATTAACAAGTTAAAGCAATTCATTTAAATTCTGACATGAAATTTAAAATTTTCTCGTTGGAAGAGGAGATTATTAAAATATAGATAAGCTTTTTGTGTTTTAAAATAGATTGCTTTGAATAATGAATTCATTACTCTAGAAAAGAAAGGAATAGTTTACATTGAAAAGATCTGCCATTTTTATGTTTGTTATCAGGTGATTACACATGAGAAATATGATGCTGATGTAATAAGAAATTTTTAATATTCTATTTTCTGCTTATAATTACTCAAGTGTGATTTATCAGGTTATTATCATGACATATCAAGTTTTTATGAAACTGCTTTACAAATGCTATTAATATAGTTGACTATCAAAGCTGTTATGAAATATCAGTTAAAACTTGAGTGCAAAACCTCATTAATTATTCCTTATTAACATTAACATTCCTTATTTGAATGCTGTACTTTTAAATAGATTAAAATTAACAATGTTAATTAACAATGTAACCAAAAGATTATTAGTGAGCAATGAAAGCTCGTTAAATGTTCTTTAAAATGAAAACTAATTGTAACTGCTGTCTTTTATGGTAAAAGGGAAACGTATGCTGAGACTCGAGAGCAATAATAATTTATCTTGCTTAGATTCCATAAATAATAGTTTTGATGAAAATATATAAATCAAAATGGCAGAAAGAGCTTTACAATTAAGTAAATCATTACTATAAAATATTTCTTGGCACTTAAATATAGCTTACGATAATACAGAACATGGCATATCCAATATGTGATTCATTCTAAATTGCCTTATTTTTAATTTCCATAAAAAGCACTGTTTATTAAAAATATATTTATTATATCAAAAATATTTATCTATATGGTATATTAAAAAACAGCTAATGAGTACCTTTTCTTCTGAAGCATATTTTATCTTTTATAATAATTCAAAGCAATAATAATAATAAAGCAGTAAATGCAGTATAAGAAAAAAGGCTGTAGAAATGCCTGCAATTTGAAGGCTTGAAAAATGAGAGAATGCATATCAGTAGACGACTTATTTTTCGAGTAGAGTAATGGGTTCTTATTCAAAAGATCTACTTAAATATTATTATTAAAATCAGATATACAAATGGAAAAAAAATCTGTAAAAGTTGTTTTAATTTGAATGGTGATGGGCATTGATGACAATAGTTAAATATGATCTCTGTATCCTGAAAGGTGGGCAAAAGATGACTTAAAAAAAGTGTTTTAAATGTGAAAGAAACACTGCTGTCTGATGTGTTACCTGATAGAGAAATGTTTCATTTAGCCTAAGTTTAATTGTTACAGTATTTAAGCTAATAAAAATTTGTAAAATGTTCTTTCTTAAACTTTTAATATTTTTGCAATTTAATATCCATTGGGTTTACAAGTATATCTTGGATAAAATACTCACAATGAAGAAAATATGTAATGATTTTTCTCTCCCAAAGAAATTTCTGAAAATGTTATTTTTTCCCTCAGAAATTTTAACACGAATAACCCACCTTAAACTGCTGGTGCTACATTTATTTTCTTTGAGTTATTAACTTATATTCTATGCAATTTTAAACTTTGATGCACCTTTATGCAAACCATTGCTTGTGTGGGATAACACGTCTTATCCTTTGACATGAAGCACTTTGAGTTTCCAAAGTAAAACTGAAAGCTTGTGATCTGTCTTTTTGCATTTTATAAGACTTTTTTGATATCTAATTTTTTCATACATTTTTATAATATTAACAAAGAGCACTGTATTTTGTACAAGTCAAGTTTTTTTAAATAAATAAATAAATCATTCTACAGATGCAGAATGTGGTGATTATTAGAATTGGGACAGGAGAAGTAATACATTTAATTGTATGTTTAAATCATTATTTAATACAAATAGAAAACTGTAACTGTATGAAGAATATACAAGTCTTGAGTTTTTACACAAAAAGAAAATAAAAATTTTCTGTGGCTGTAATATTTTTTGCTATTTTTGCTTGAATATTTATATAATTACAATTTTTAGCTATACAATTTATCATTTCTAAAGTCAGTGCTGGTAACTGTCTTTTTAATAATAGCTTTTTATTGATTTTCAGTTATAAAATTTTAAATGTCTTCTCTTTTTTCTCTCTCTCTCTGTGTATGAATTGTATTATAAATTAATAATTAATTTTTAGAAGTTGTTGCATTTAAAACTGAAAAATCTGTACTTTGAAGGATGGAAAAAACTCAACTTGAGATTAAAAATTTGTTGCATGAAATGTCTTCACAGTGAATAAATATTGTTTGAAAAATTCAGTTATTTGCATAAAAATTTTATGTATTTAAATGTCAACAACCAGAGTTTTAGTTAGAAAACCTGTTTTATCAGAACATAATTTTAAGCTATTAGTTAAACTGAATCAATATTTAATCAAATCTAAGCAATGTATTTATTTTGTAATTAGTGTAAGACTGAAATATATTATTCTTATTAAAACCAAAGAATTTTTATTATATTAATATGTAAATAAATTAGTGTATACTTTTACAGTGAAATTTAAGAAAAATTCTGCTTTCATCGAATGTCGAATTTGCAGAGGCTTAATTTCACAACTTATTAGTTCTGTGAAAAAGAAATATATATTGAATTGAAGTGTACGTTTTGTTAGCTTGACTTGCAGTAATGTACAAAAAAGTGTAAATAAAAAAATAATTTTTAACTATCCTTCAGTGTTTGTATTTATGTACTGCTCTTTATAAATATTTTTGTATTCCTCTATTTTGAAACTTTTCATTTCAAACATTAAAAATTCAGTAATACAATGGAATTGTAAATTTAAGATGCCAAATTATACCATGAGATCCACTGTAACTGATTTACTCTCGATGCAAACTTAAAACTCTCAAAAGAAACTTTTAATGAAACATTAGAACATTATACTAATATTATTAAGCTGAAGTGCATAAGATATCAACTCATAAATCAGTAAATATTTAAGATTTTATTAAAAATATTAATCCATATTTAATCACAAACACATGAACTAAAGACCTTTTCATGTATGTGGAGGAGGTAAGATTTTTTTTTCATTTTAAATCAGTGCCTCCCAACTAATCAAAGAGCAGTTTTTAGAGACAGTTTCTGTGGCAGAGCCCATGGAAAGTTACAAATTTGCATAATGTTTAAGATTAATTGTATGAGAAGGAAGAATGGATAGGTAGTAAAGGGTGTGTAAATTAAAGAGATATCTAAACAAATGTGTGATATCTGCACAATGAAATTATACTTTTTAAACTCTGAAATGAACCACAATATATCACTTTATTTGAATGCCATTCATAATATATTCAGTTTTCACAATATATCCTTAGATAGTAATTGCAGATGAGTGTTTTGTACTGGTATAGGCATAGAATCCATTTTGAAAGCAGCAACCATAATTTTGCATTCTCAGATAAGGTTTTGAATTTATTTTGTAAGTGCAACCAAAACTCCAGCAGATTTTGGTTTTGAAATGCAATTTTTAGTTTCCTTGAGATGTCGCATATAGTATCATTCCTGGAGCGGTCACACTTTAAGTTTGGGAATTACAGATTTAAATGAAACACATTACATGTAGAATCAAATATTTGGGTAAGTTTTGTTATTTGTTGAAGTTGTTGCCTTTCCAGAATAAGCACATAAATTGATACTTCTTAAAATATGTTTTTATTTTAAGATTTATTTTATGTGCATGTGTGTACATGTATACATTTATAAGTATGTATTAAATTTTAAAACAATATTCTATTGAAATATCAACATAAGATTTAAAACAAAAAATGAATATGTTCCTTCAGACAACCGTTGAAGTGTAAACAAATTTAGAAACAAAGGATCATAAAAGATTTTCACATGTTATCTTCATTGGCATGGAAGGGGAGAGTACCAGAGGAATATTAATCACAGTTTGTTTCTGAGCTAACCATTGAACAATAATAGACCATAATAATGCTTTAATAAATTTTTAGATTAAAACTGCACATCAACTGCCCAAACTCGACACTCTTTGAGAGGGATAAATGAATATTTGGTTAAATACTTTTGTAAATGTAAGGTGAAAAAAGATCAAACAAAGAAACAAATTATAAATATATATATAAAATATCAACTAGGCCTAGAACAAAGAGCCAAAAAACACAGGTTTATAACTGCTGCATGTGGCTGGAGCCTTTGAGATATGTAATGTGGTTAGCAGTACAATTCTTTAAAAACAAGAGTTTGTAATTGCATATATATTAAGGTGAAAATCCTAAAACTGTGTGTCAGGCTGAAAATGCTAGTTGGCAGTAAATTATTTGCTAAACCACGAAAAACCTCATTCAAACGCAAAATTTAAATAAGTCAATGCAAGTGATTATCTTTGTAATTAAATAATGAAGAATCTGTATATATATGTTCCTTGCACTGTGGAGAAACAAGCAGCTTAGAGCCACCAAATTTTGAACACTTGTTGTCCTGCATCAGAGCATGTGCACCTACAGACTTAAATTTTGAATTTCCTTTTTGTTTTGTATTTATTTCATATTCAGTGCGAATTTAATGACACATTAACAAACTTGATAATTTAAAAGTAATGTGTTGCCATTCGGCAAAGAATAAGATATTTATGTTTCAAATTTAAACACACATCTCCATGATATAAAAGAAATATGTTGCCAGGCGTCAAGGATGTAACATACTTTTGTTTCAAATTTAATATGGAAACTCTGCTATTTAACTGAAATAAAATACTTTTATCTTACACTCACCAGTGTATTGCCATTTCGAAAATTGTAAATTATTTTTCTTTCAAATTTGATCTGTTTATTATTGAGTAACAAATTAAGTGATTTAAAAACAATAAATACATTTTTTATCCTTATTAATTACTAGCTAGACCCATGAAATTAAACTAGTTGAATTCATTATGCATTTTTTTTCCTTTTTATAACAACTGTTAGGCAGCTGATCACACAATCAGGTAGTTTATAATAAACCAGGCAATAAGAAATGCTATGAGCTATCTGTTCTTTTCAATGCTAAGAAACGTATTCAAATGGTGATAGAAGCAACCTTCAAATGCGTTATAAAACAAATGTTTCTAAAAAGTATTAAAAAAAATAACATAAAATTTTAAAAATATTGTTAAATGAATAAAAATCTGAAAGGTTTCAGATTTTAAATTACGTCCAAGGGGGCGTTTTTTTTTTAACGTTTTGTGTGTTACTTTTATTTATTAAATATCATGTTCTTTGCACTTAAACCATAAAATTCAGTTCAGTAGCAAGATCGCAATAATTTTAAAATGAGCATATTTAGAATTTCCTATACACAGTTGCGGCGCTAGAGATAAAAGGTTTTTGTTTTTTTTTCCCGCCTTTGAGTGGCCATGCTCGCTTTTAAATCGTTGAGTTTGTTACTAAAACATTCCTTAAAGTTTTATCCAATATAAAATCGATAATAATAAAACAAATTTCAAATTTGGATTTCCAGATGCCGAGATTCGGGTGAAAACCTACGTTATTCAAAGTTTTAGGGCTCTAGGTACCGTTGTTTTATCACAATACGAGAAACATACATACATTTATGCAGATTCCTTATTTAATTTCTTTAAATATAATACAGCAGGGGGTTAATATCTTGTGGCAACAATTTGAAAAGTGAAACGCCGTTTATAGTGAACCAAGGCAAAATGCCAAAACAAAATTAATAGCCCTTCTGGGCAAATTGGGCTAAAAATATTAAAGCTGCAAATTTTGACAAGTTTTACAAAATATGAAATCAATAATAAAACAAATTTCAAATTTGGTCTTCCACATGCCCATATTCGTAGGAGGATTACGTCATTCAAAATTCGATACTCTGTGTACCATTGTTCTATCACAATGCAAGGAATATAATACATTTATGAGATTTCATATTTCTTCAATATAATGCAAATTCTAACATTGGGGCAACAGTTTGAAAAGTGAAACGGACATTTTATAGTGATTCGACGCAAAACGAAAACAATAGTCCTTCAGGGACAAAGCCCCTTTGGACTAATTATATATATATAAAGTCCCCGTCCCCTTTGAACTATATATATATATTATATATATATATTGTATCGAGTAAAGGACGAAACACCTTCGTATTTATTTCTTAATTTTTGTTGATTGAACGGAAGTTGGTTTGTTCCCCTTGAAAAGTCAACTAATTTCCGATCAATTCAATGATTACTTGCATTTAATTTGATTACTTTTTTAATTTATTTCTTTTTAACAATTGAAATTTATTCATGATTTAATTCAGTACCCGTTAAACATTTTAACAATTTACTTCAAGTTACTTTAAAACAATTTTCGAATTGAACTTACTAAAGTATGGATGTTGTCTTTTAAGATAATTCTACTAAAATTAATCTTAGAGGTAATATTCAATATTTCTTTAGTAAATAATTATTATATATATATTCCCTTTTTTTTTTTTTCTCTCTCTCTCTCTCTCTTGGCAAGATTCTTGCTTCAATTCTTCTATTTTATTATCATTTCAGTATAAAATTAAAATAATTTTCGATACTTTTTACAAAGTATTAACTCTTTAAGCTAGCAGATCCACTCATAAGATCTTGCATATTTTGACTAATAGCATATCGCTATTTATTTTATTTTGTACAGCGGCATTTCTATTCCATTATTTATTATCCTTGGGGAACATTTAAGGCCGAAAACTTGGAAATTCTAAGTTTTTGAAGGTCTAAGTTAAGGTTAAATTAGAAAAATTTGCAATTAAAATCCTTGAATCTTGTGTTTGATTTTTTCAATGTTTCAATATTCATATTGTTTTTACGGTTTTTTATTTTTATTTATTTTTTTTTCCCCGGAATCTTTTAAATAAAAGCAAGTATAGAAGGAAGACGGTTATCTAATGATTTAACAGAGATAAGTACTAAATATTCTCCAGAAAATATAAAAATGTGACACTCATAGCCACAATAAGGAGGTGATCCAGATCCACTGAAATTGCAACAATCACATTCTTTTTTAATAAATGATGAACATTTTTAAAACTAATCTTTCTAATGTGTTGAGTTAAAATATTTGTTTCCCCAAGTTAGTACTGGGAAAAAAAAAAACAAGACAAAAGGGGGATGAATTTTTAAATCTTAAATCCTTTCATGGAGTTTAATGATTTAGATATCCCATCCTTAATTCAAAGTATCATCAATAGATTTTTTTAGCATATTCCATATCCAATCATCAGCATCTCAAACATAGTTATTTTTGCTTCCTTGTACGAAGAAAAAAGGAAGTATTGTAATAGCGAAAAATTTCGGGTATCATTTTTCAACGAAAATATCGATTTTGAGAGCTCTCTAATGCAATTTAATGATGTTTTTGCTTGACATCCGCAAGTAAGGACAGAATAAAGGCCTCTTTTCCACCAAAAAAATTATAAAACTGATTTTAAATGAATTCTGAATAGAATTTTTCGTTGCGTATATCGCATAGCTCATAAACGTGTAGCCTCAGAACGTAGAAATTTTGTATGTAGGACTGCTATAACATGTAGATATGCACCTCGTATTTTGGTTGCAATCGGCCGCACCAAAAGTATATAAATATGTGTATATATATATCCACTCTGTTACTCGGCTTAGTGAGCTCAGTTTCTTTATCTGATATGTTTGTAAATTGTGCATTTTTTTGCTTTAAAAAAGA